TGAACCAATCGCCAAAAAACGAAAAACGGCACCTATATAACTTCCCTGCTATTGAATGGTGAAAGAATTATCAAAATCGGTCAAGTAGTTACTGAGCATGGGCTCGTCTGCTAATCTCGTCTGCTTTTTAGACACTCCCGTGTCGAAGGCAAGTCGAAGGGCAAGTTGAATGTATAGGGCAAGTATAGGGCTTTGGTTGAATGAGTTGAATGAGTACAATGAGTAATTCCCGTAATCCGTAATCCCTTCCAAGGCAGTATTTCTTCGGGGGAGTGTGCATTGCTTTGTTTGTGAATAAATCAACGGCACGAGACTCCTGCGACGGGTAGGTTCGGTAGGTTGTGAGTTGTGATGGTTGTGGTAATCAAATGCAAATGACAGAGGATTATTTGCAGTGTTGCCCATAGGCCATAGGGACTGAAAAGTGTCTAGTCTGAATCAGTGCAAGTGCAACCTGAACCGATGAGCTTGAGCAGTGAGCCAAGTTGTCTCTTGTCTCGCAGTAGACCAATGCAAATTAAGTGCCACTACAACAAAGATGGCTACCCTTCCAGGCAGCCCTTTTTGGCTACCTCAGTTGGGGAAACTACGAGGCGAATGTCAAAAAATGGATTGGTCAATAAATGGACTTTTGATGACCATATATGGGCATAAATGCAGCCCCCGCTAGTAAGGGTGAAAAACGGTATAACAAGCCGGTACTTGCGGTATCGCGTCCACTTATTGGAGAGAAAAGGCTTCCATTTTTCACTAGGAATTAGTGTGATTTGATTAAATTCGGCGAATTGACTCGAAAATGGTGATAGGAAAACGGCTTTTCTGCAGGTTCTGGGCGTCACAATCAGCTGGCCATTCAATAAATGGATTGGTTTTATGAAAGAAAATTGTTAAAAGATTTAATATAATTACAATAAACAAAAATATTTAATTATGAAATAAGAACTTAACTACAATTAGAAAAACCATAAACAAAATAATTAAAATAATGACATTTTTAAACCACGGTACTGCTTACATTTTTTGGCGCGTCTGTTTCAATCCGCCATATTTGCCAATCACGGTTTGACCTTGCGTTGTAACTCTGCGATTTAGAGCCGCCAGTTAATTATGCACCGGGTGAGTGTAGGCCTTGTGTGGTTAAAAAACATTCTTATGCCTTATTTTTTCATTTGAATGCTAAAATTCATTGAAAAGATGAAGTTGTCTGATTTTATGACCATATATGGTCATCGCCCCGCCCACTCCAGCCGCTGATTGGCTAATCCAATTTTTGTTTGGCTCCTCGTAGTTTCCCCAACTGACCTGGCTAATGACTATAGTCCGTTCCACATCAAGCTTGCAGTCGGAACTCGGAGGTTCTCTAGTTTGCTCCTCCGCTCAATAATTTGCTTATTTGAATGTAAAAGCTGTATGTATAGAAATCATGCACTGCTTTCAGCAGGGCACTTTGGCCACAAGCTTAGCATGGAACAGACTGTAATGAGGTTTTTGATGTAGACTTCAGGTGGTTGTAGTAAAGCCGGCATCACACTTATTTTTTGCAACCAAGGAGAGGTGCTTTAGGTTAGGCTGTAGGTTTGAGCTTTTAGGTGGTAATCCTTAGGTTGTAGGTATGGTTAGGTTAGGTTTGGTTCGAAGAAATAGTATGAAGCGCTCTAGCGAGGAACATCTTGATATATGTAGTTTGAATTTCAAATGACCTTTTCCTCGATAATTAATTGAAAATGCAATAAAAAGCAAATATTATATTGTTTGGCAAATTTTCGAACAACAGTTCATTCTCAAGCCACATGAAACAATTGACAACGAAGTTTTATAACTGCCGCCAAGCCACTTTTTTAAATTCTTACACGTGATATACAAAGTGGTCTTCTTAAAATCGGAAAGCTGAACTAAATCGATCATATCCCAAGCTGTTCTAACCAGGGCTGCGGAGTCGGAGTCGGAGTCGGAGTCGGAGTCGGTCGGAGTCGACAGTTGTGACCGGAGTCGGAGTCGGAGTCGGAGTCGATTTTAGAAACCCGAGCCGGAGTCGGAGTCGGAGTCACCGAAAATCTGTCGACTCCGCAGCCCTGCTAGGTCTGCGGAGTCGGGGTCGGGAGTTGGAGTCGGTCGGAGTCGACAATTCTGCCCGGAGTCGGAGTCGGAGTCGGAGCTGGTTTTTGAAAGCCGGAGTCGGAGTCGAAGTCGGAGTCGCCGAAAATACATCGACTCCGCAGCCCTGGTTCTAACTCCACCTATTCCACATATACATCCACACATACATGACCATTAAAAGTAATATGCGAGCACACCCACACAAATACATACAATATGGTTCTTCTTGGTCGTGGATCGTGTCACATTAAAACAAAAAATAACAATACAAACACTTCGAAAGTCTCGTAGTAGATCGTGTCGTAAAAGGGCGGTTCGGTTTAAACAATCATACAAATGCATACAACTAATATGCCGGCACTCCCACACAAATACATACAATATGGTTCGTCTTGGTCGAAATCGTGATCGTGTCGCATTAAAAAAAAAAGAAGACAACAACAATAACAATACAAACGCTTCGAAGTCTCGTAGTAGATCGTGTCGTACAAGGCCTTATATGTAGTGTCGTAAAAGGTTCGGTTTAAACAATAATACATAATACATATGCATAGAACTTCGAATCAAGCGCAGTAACAATAAACCACACATAATTTACAATGACAGCCAGTGGATAATGAAAACAAACTACTATCATTCTATAGTATGGGCCATGAAGACATATTGGAGTTGAGCTTTGGGTGCTTCTTTTGGATAAGGAGAGATTCCGCGATTTTCCTATCTGGGTGATCTTTCGACTTATACAAAATGCGTACTTTGAGAGGTGTGCCTCCTTCGTGGGTGGAGTGACACTCCTGAAAATGATCGCCCATGGGCGTGTCGCGTGTTTTGTTGAGCGCGTCCCTCAGGTGTTCATTGAATCGTAAGCGCACCGGGCGCTTCGTCTCGCCTACGTATGTTACGGTCTCTCCATTGCTTTCACAGACAGTACATGTAATCTCATAGACTAAGTTTTTCTGTGTGCAGTCCCCAGAGAACCCCGAGCTGCATGTGTGACATCTTTGACCTCCTGGGCATATGGGCTTACACAGTGCTGATCTCACCAGTTTATCTTTTAGTTTTTGTGAATTTTTCCATGCTAACTTTACATTGAGGCCTGATTGTCTCACTTTCCTCTTGACTTCGCACAGGAGTCTTTCATCTACATAAGGAAGTGTAAGGAACCCATCACACGGTTCTTGGGTCCTGTCTCTTCTAGTTCTCGACTGAGTCTTGTTCCCCCTAGCCTCTCTGAGCAACCTGTTCAGGACATAGTTTGGGTAGCCATTCTTTAAGAGTAATTGCCTTATCTTTTCTACACTTTTCCTCTCCTTCATGTTGTTTGATGAATTCCTGATAGCCCGTTTAAATTGATTTCTAGCCACGTTGAGTTTGGTCGACTTTGGGTGTGCAGAATCGAAATGAAGAATAATGCCCGAGTTCATGGGCTTGATGTAGAGCTCTGTCTCAATTTTTGTGACCTCATCCTTTTCTTCAACCGTCACCAACGTGTCTAGAAATGGCACCCCTTTTTCTTTGTCAGAGTAGTCTAAAGTGAACTTTACCGATGGATGTAGGGAGTTGAGGTAGGTGAGGAAGTCTTTGAGCGTCTGCTCACCGTGAGTCCATACTCCAGCATAATCATCAATGTAGCGTACCAGGAACGACGGGCTGTGAGTGGCTCCTTCTAGGGCACGCCTTTCAAACTGGTCCAGGAAGAGAATGGCTATGGGAGGGGCACAAGGGTTTCCCATCGCGATCCCCAGTGTCTGACGGTAGTACTCATAGTTGAATGAAAAAACGTTCTTTGTGAGGCTTTCTTGCAGCAGTTTCCTAATGTCCTCTATCGACAGCCCAAAAGTGTCTACATCTTTTAAGTGGGTGGCCAGCTTTTCACAGACTGCATCGATGGCCTCCGAAATAGGAATGCTGCCGTACAGGTTCACCACATCTATGCTAAAGAAAATGGAGCCTCTTGGGATCCCCTGCTCTTGAGTGTGTTCATCTAACCTTTTCAAGAAGTGTTCTGTGTCCCACAAGTGTGTTGGAACAAATTGTAGTAGCTGTTTCAGGACGCGCTCTAAAAGACATGACAACTTTTCAGTAGGACCACCGCAAGCTGAAATAACAGGTCTGAGTGGGACCCCCTCCTTATGGTCCTTCGGAACACCATAGAAAACCGGTGTCCTGCTGTGGTTCGGGATCAACTCCTTAATCGTGCCCTCTGGTAACTTATCTCTAGAAACATTCTTGAATATCCTTTTACATTCTGCCTCGACTTTAGGTACTGGGTTCTTGTCTATAGCTTCATAGTTGCTCCGATCGTCTAAAATAGCATGAGATTTGTTCACATACTCCGTCCTATCCATGATAATAAGAAGTTCTATGCATATGTATTATGTATTATTGTTTAAACCGAACCTTTTACGACACTACATATAAGGCCTTGTACGACACGATCTACTACGAGACTTCGAAGCGTTTGTATTGTTATTGTTGTTGTCTTCTTTTTTTTTTAATGCGACACGATCACGATTTCGACCAAGACGAACCATATTGTATGTATTTGTGTGGGAGTGCCGGCATATTAGTTGTATGCATTTGTATGATTGTTTAAACCGAACCGCCCTTTTACGACACGATCTACTACGAGACTTTCGAAGTGTTTGTATTGTTATTTTTTGTTTTAATGTGACACGATCCACGACCAAGAAGAACCATATTGTATGTATTTGTGTGGGTGTGCTCGCATATTACTTTTAATGGTCATGTATGTGTGGATGTATATGTGGAATAGGTGGAGTTAGAACAGCTTGGGATATGATCGATTTAGTTCAGCTTTCCGATTTTAAGAAGACCACTTTGTATATCACGTGTAAGAATTTAAAAAAGTGGCTTGGCGGCAGTTATAAAACTTCGTTGTCAATTGTTTCATGTGGCTTGAGAATGAACTGTTGTTCGAAAATTTGCCAAACAATATAATATTTGCTTTTTATTGCATTTTCAATTAATTATCGAGGAAAAGGTCATTTGAAATTCAAACTACATATAGGTTTGGTTCGGTTTGATTAGAAAGCATCTCTGGGTATACTGCCTCTTCTTTGTAACAAAAAAAGTGTGATGCCTGCTTTACAACTACCTACCCTTCAGGCTGGTCCTTATGTACCTATTAGAGAGTTACAAGTAGCTGAAGAACTTTGCTCATTGAAGAAAACATGCTGCCTCTGAAGTATAGACTCCAAACTAGAATTGAAAATGTTCACAAATTATAGGAAGGTGTAAGCAGTTGACTCTGTAGTACAAACAGTTTTCTGGCTTGTGTTCCGATGTAAACAAGAGGCCTAGGATTTGGTGAGGAATTACATAATACATTTACAGATAAAATGGAGAGCATCATCATGATCAGAAACCATGGTACTTTTTGGATTTTTTGCGGACCTTTCTGATTCCTTCATTCTACTTTATTCAACTGATTTACTTGATAATAGCAATTAATGTTTTAACATGGACCTCAATATGATAGATGAAGGTTGGACAGTTGAAGCTTAGGTTTGACTGGTACATCAGAAATATTGATGATTTAGGTAGGTACTAATTACTCCTCAGTCCATGCATCTTCCCTATTGTTCATGAATTTTGCAGAATATGACATCATTTTCCTAGGTACAATACTTATTACTTACCATGTGTTTCATTGGGTAATTTGGCAAGTAAAATAGCACGTTTGCTTACCTGATATCTTAAGAGGATAGTTATGAATAATGTACATTTTGTTCTTCAATTAGGTACTATCAAGTATCAACTCATCCTTGTCTCCTACCACCACACCTTCATACAACTTACAAATTGATGCCTTTGATCCATGTGGGCCTGGTAGCTCATAAGCTAATTATTCTCTTGCATTCAGTTCTGTTTGCCTGGTGCCTTATGAACTGAGCTGCCCCTTTTTTCAACATTCATGTTAATGCTTATGATGGCACCTGCCATGCTATTTTTTAATGTCCTAGCCTCAGCCTAGCTGGTCAATAGTAATGCCCCAAAGTGTTGAAAAGGTAGAAAACTACCCTAAAAGATTGTGTGTGTTGCACATGTGACTGGTGACAATGCACATACCTGCATTGCTATGTTTCTGTCCTTTTCACATGAGTTGAGAAGTGATACCAGGCATTTACAATTTACTTTTTACTCTGCTTTATACCATCGTAGAACCACACCTAAAACCACTATAGAAAATAATATGGTACCAGTGTGTTGTCTACCTCTTTATGTCAACCAACCAATGAACATGGGATGAAGCACCTCAGCCATAACACGTCACATGTTTTCCTCCACAGCTGGTTTTCTCCGCCCGGGAAGTGCGCTGACGGACGCCTGGTTCTCTCCGCCCTGGAAGTGCGCTGACGGACGCCTGGTTCTCTCCGCCCGGGAAGTGCGCTGACGGACGCCGACCATGCCGGCCGACGTGGAGTGCCCGGCCACGCCGCCGGAGCTACCCCGGGAGCCGACCCCCACGCGCGTGAAGTGTTCGCCCGTGCGCGAGGGGAGCAGCTCGCCGGGCCGGGCCTCGCCCGACTCGGCCTGCCCCATCTGCCTGGGCAAGCTGGACAACAAGGCGTTCTCAGACGGGTGCATGCACCAGTTCTGCTTCACGTGTATCGTCGAGTGGTCCAAGGTGAGGTGAAGCTGAACTGGGTGTCCGTGCGTGTCGTTGTAACTTGTAACTTGTAAGTTGTAAGGTTCAAGTTCTCAAACAAAATGATCAAATACTGGAATGAATCATTAGGGTTTTGAGGTTTATGGTTAAGGTTTTGAGGTTTTGGCTCAAGGTATTAAGGTTTATTATGCGACGTGGAATATTTGTTTATCTTAGGGGCTTTCAACGTTTTTCTTTTCTCGCTTCAGTTCGTTTTTTATTGCTTTATTTTTAGTAAGTACTTATTAAGGTTGATTTCAGTCGCTTTATGTTTTTGCCTCACGTGTGTCTGTTCTATCACCTGTCTGCCCTCCCCCCTCTGCTCTGACACCTTGCTGACCTCCCTCTGCAGGTGCGCGCGGTTTGTCCGCTCTGCAAACAGGGCTTCACGTCCATCATCCACAATGTGCGCTCCGAGATCGACTATGATCGGTACCGTCTGCCGCCGCCGCCGGCCGCCGAGCCGCAGAACCCGTACATCTTCCAGCCCGGGTAGGTACTGGGACAATGGTGGGGTAAGCATGAGGCGGGCATGACGCCCCGAGCCGCAGAGCCCGTACATCTTCCAGCCCGGTTGCGTTACTCGCAGTCAACTTCTGGTGTCACTGTTTCGACTTTCGTGCTCCGATACTTTTTAGTGCCGCTTCTGTGAATGATCACCGTGCCAAATCCATCAGCTATGTGCACCCTATCAATCAATCAATCCACGTGCTCTGCCGTTTTTCCACCGTGTGTACGTAAACGTCATTTAACCCGCGCCCCACTGGGGGGGGGCTATTTATAGCCCCCCCTCCCGTTTTTCTGCAATAACTTCCAAACCGCTTGACGAATCGACGCCAAACTTTCAGTACCTTCGGCTGCATCAATTTGACACCTTGTGTCAAAATTTGAACTTCGTAGCTACCATAGGTCGGCCGAAAATGACGTCAGAGTGACGTCATGTTCGTCCGATTTCGACGCAAAACATTGAACCACGGCAATCGCTCCCAAGAGCTCAGTTTTTAAGCTAGATCCAATTTCTTTGCATGAAAGAACTCAAAATTGACCGCGCTATCAAACTGCTATCTCGGATTTTCAAAATTTTGAAAATTTCGAAAATTTTATATAATAATATTCAAAATTTATATTTTTATATTTTTTTCAAAAAGTTTTTGACTTTTCGAAAAAACCGGAATATATGTGACAGAACGCATGATTATGACTAACTCTAGCAAGTTTTAGCTAAATATCTTCAAAAATGGCCAAGTTATACGCATTATTGCAAAAAATTCACAATTATTAATTTTTCAAATCAATTTTTCAGTACGTATTTGGCATCGTACACCAATATAAATGGCACCATCGTGTTCCTGAGCTCAAACTGCATCCAATAGACACCTTTTTTGTTGAACAATTTCAACTTCAAAATTTGACCTTTTTTGACCTAAGGTGACCTGACCTAAGCTAATTTCGACTCAAAATGACCTTGAATGACACAGACGACATCAAATTCGAAATCTATGGCCTAAATGGACCATAAAACATGTGTCACGTGACCGACGCATGATATAATATTTTCGTGACCTGTGATGACCTGACCCTGACCTGAAAATCAAAGTACAAGTTTGGTACCCTCAAGGTATCTAGAGCATCTGTTCACGAGTGTGGAAACCAAAAATGAGCCTGATCTGACTTGTAAGACGGCGGCCAGAGCCCAAAATGTGAACAAGCCAAAGTGCTAATAATTTTTACTTTGACCTGACCTGTGACGTCATCGGTGACCTCGAGGTCAATGAAATTAGGTTTCGCTCGACAGTTTTTCCGGGGCTATCAGACACCGTTTGAATTTTGACGATCGGCCCAGTAGTTTCGGAGTTAGGAGGGGGGGCTATGAATAGCCCCCCCCCCCCCCCAGTAGGGCGTGTTATACACAGACCCCAGTGGGGCGCGGGTTAATGTCCCCGTCATCTGTGTGAGAGCGTTGTACAGTATAGATTCTCCATACATCCTGTCCTCAGCTGTGTCTCGCCGTACGTTTTCCGTATGAACCCCGCTCTACATCGCCCTGCCGGCGTGTGAGCCTCACCCGGCCAGGCTGCGCTCAGAGCTACATTAACGTCCGACGGCGCGTGGTCACACCGACCGCGGGTCGTCGGCAGAGACGTGACGCGGGGTGGCGTCCCCGGCAGCACGGGGAGACGCCTTTGGAACGCCGTCTCACAGACACCTGCTGTCGCTGACTGACTGCTCGTTTGTGTTGTTTTGTAACATGTTGAATTGTAGGGTAGGTCGTTTGAATGTGTTGTTACACAGTGGGGTGGTTGGGTTGAATGTGAAGTTGTTTTGCAAGGAAGGATAGTATCTTGCCTGCTGACAGCTGTTGTTAGGTAGGCCGGTTCCCCTGCTGATGCCTCCTTCTGACCCATACCTACCTACTTTACTGGCCTTTCAACCTTTCTGGCCCGTGACCTGGCCCCTGTCTCCGGCTGACCCCAGTCTCCACCAGACCCGCTGCCTGAACCGCGCCGCCCCCGGCAGGGACGGCCCCGAGCTGCGCTCGCGCTGGCTGCAGATGCGCCGTCAGATGTACCGTCACCGGTCGCGCGTGCTGCCCATGCTGTGGCCGGTGCCCGAGGGACACGACTACCACCTGCCGGCGGCGCCGGCGCGGCCACGGCCGCCCACCCGGCCCCGGCTGACCTCCGAGTCGCGCCGACACATCTACGGCTCGGACATGTGGGCCCGGCCGACGGCCGACGAGCTGACCGGCCGCTACCGCGAGACGGGGCCCGACTTCTACAGGTGAGACGCCGCGCGGGGAGACGAGGGTTTCATTACCTATGTAAGGTTTGGGTTGGAACTGAAAACGGTGACTGGCTTCTGAACTGTTGGTCGTTGTCATTATTGTTTTTGATGTATTAGCCTTTGTCTTCACTCTTCACAATGCTGAACTATGCAATTTCCTGAAGGATAGATGGGATTAGATCAGTACACTACTTCTAATATTATGCCTGTATAGTTTCCTCCTTGTACGGCTGCCTTATCATGTCATCCACTCTAGTTCAGTGCTGCTGAGTTGTGCTCCCATTGGGAGCCTCACAAGTTAAGAGGATGTATGCGCTTTCGTTTCTCACATTAACACTGTTCTTCGGTCCGCTTCAGGAACAACCCGGCCTGCACGCACCGCTTGGTGCCGTGGCTGAACCGAGAGCTGAACGCCGTGCTGGACAGCCCCGCCCTGCTGGCGCACGTCATGGAGCACGTGATGCAGCTTATCACCCGCCTCCACATCCTCAGCCCCGAGTTCCGAGCTCACCTGGAGCCCTACATGAGCCCGTGGACGGAGCACTTTGTGCACGAGTTCTACTGCTTCGCGCGCTCTCCCTACGATATGGTCGGCTACGATCTGAACGTGCAGTACCGCCAGGGCCGGCCTGACTCGCCTCCCATGCAGGTGATGGCCAGTAGCGGCGACAGCGACTCCGGCAGCGACAGTGACATTCGCGTGCTGACGCCACCGACGCAGCCGTCGACGCCGATTCGGACGGAGCGGCTGTCGTCGCCGGAGCCGGGGCCGAGTGGCAGCGCTGGGCGGGCCGACCGGGGCGTTTCGGCCGCACTCGGCCGAGTCAGAGCGTTCCTGGCGAAGGCGCGCGCTGCCGAGAGTGACTCTGACTCGGATATGGACTCTGATGTGGGAGCCGGTGACGCTGGGGGCTCAGACTCGGCGGTGGAAGTGGTAGAGGTGCTTCCTCCGCGCAGCCAGCGGGCACCGGTCATCGTGACGCTCTCATCGGACGAGGAGGCGGCCCCGCCAGCGTCTGCCCCGCCAGCAACTACCGAGGCGACAGAGCCGGAACGGCGTCGCACCGACCGCCAAGCGCGCCGGACGGCGGCGACGACCGACGGGCAGCGGCAGAAGAGCCGAGGAACGGCTGAGAAACGAACTCGCTCCGACGGTGACAGTAACAAACGCCGGCGGAGGGAGGTGACTGGGAAGAATGGAGATGTGCATACTGCACACAAACGGAGAGAGAAGAGACCGAACCGAGAGGCAGACAGAGCGGAGCGACGCGCCAAGGGAGCGGAACAGCGCGGGGCGTCACAGTCGAGTCGAGGCAGCTCGAGGTCCAAGTCGAGTAAGACGACTGCTAGCTCGTCTGGCGGCAAGAGTAGCTCTATCTCTATGCCGACAGCCGCAAGTTTGGCGACACCCAGCGATGCAAGCTGGAGGCCGACGGATAGTGAGAGAAGTTCGGTAAATAGCGCTCTAAGCTCGAGGATTAGTGACAGAGTAACCGTTTCCAGTGACAGAACTAGCATTGACGTTGTTGGAGAAACGACCGACAGATCCAGCCTACTTTCCATCTCTAGCGGAAAGAGCACATCGGCATCTGCTGGAGCGATTGGCGAAAACTGTTCGAAGTCGGGAGATAAATCGAGTGACAAGAGCCATAAATCCAAATCCAGTGATAAAAGTAGCAAAAGTTCGAAAACAAGTGACAGAAGCCACAAGTCGAAATCCAGCGACAAAAGTCACAAATCAAAATCCAGTGATAAAAGTCACAAATCGAGATCCAGCGACAAGTCAAGCCACAAGTCGAAATCCAGCGACAAAAGCCACAAGTCCAAACATCGTGACAAATCGCACAAATCTAAATCCAGTGACAAGCACCGTTCTTCCAGCAGAAAATCTGACAAGGGGGATGAGAAGCGCGACTCTGACGGTCGTCGTCACAGGCGTCGCTCGCGGGACGACGCGCGGAGCCAGAAGCGCCGTCGACTGGTGGATAGCGACTCGTCGGACTGCCTGCCCTCGCCCGGCTCGCCGCAGCCCTCCACCTCCTCCGGGGTGACGGATCGGTCCCGTCAGTTCCACCGGATTGTGCCCGCCGTCACCTCCTCCAGCGACGCCGCCCAGAGCAGCTCGTCGAGTGTGGTGGGCGCGCGGCCCGTCCGCTGCCGCCGCCTCTCGGACTCGGCCTCCGAGGGGAGCAGCGCGGCTGGCCGCCGGTCGGCGGTGGCGCCCAGTGACAGTGACAGTGAGGAGGATGTTGGCGCGCGGCGGCCGGCGGTGCGCAGTGCGGTGGTCCGCGCCCGCAGAGCTGTGCGCAGTGAGGACAGTGACTCGAGTGACTGGTAATTGACGCGAGACAGACACCATTCGGACACGAGGAGCCAACCTGTGTCCGCCACCCGCCTATCGCCAAGTGATTTATTGTTCAAATGACGCAGAGTTTCACAGAAAGATTCTCGATTGTGCAAAAACGTTATCTTCTAACGTTGAGTGTGAGTGTGTCCATGTCCGAAAGGGTACGATACGTGACCGACGATATTTTCAGTGCAGCCTATACTTGCAGTTGGGTGTCGTTGACTCCAGGGTTCGCTGGCTGTGGGACATACCCGTGACATTACCCTGCTACTCTCGCAGTACCGCGGATGGCTAGTGACCACACGCGACCGCCTGTGCTGCTGACGAGTGACGCTCAAGATATCTGCCAATGGGGTTGATGATGTTTGGAGTGCGTGGTTGTGACGCGAGGTGCTGACTGGCGCCGCTGAGTCCTTCACCCGTTCCCTCGGGGGAGTTATCGAAAACGGAATGAGGATGTATAAGATGGCAAGATGAATTAAATACACCAATAACAGGGACGGATTGACTTTGCTTTTCAGGGGTTTGGGGGCGAGTTGACAGAAAGGTACAGGTCTCGCGGGTTTTAGCGGTAGGTTTTGCACCTAGAAAATTTTTGTGTACTTCAGGCTATATCTTCGTCGTCTTAAGCTTTTAAGTGTTGAAGATGCGATCGACTTGTTGGTTCACAAGCCGGTCATGATCGTGTAAAATGGCTTCATCGTAGATCGATTAGTTTCTGAGATATAACCGGAAATGTAAAAGTGCAAAACCTACCGCTTAATCTCGCGGGAGCCGTACACATAAAACAGCAAGATGAATGAAATCAGGAATAGCGGGTACGAATTCACTGCTTTTCCTTTGACTTTGGGGGGGGGGGGGGGCGTTGACAGCAATGTGTGCTCATGCTGAATCTCGCTCAGCTAATGGCACGGATACAGGAGAGGCTGGTCTTCAAACTGAAGAAGAGTTATAATATGCAAGGAAGAGTTAGTTTTAAACGTAATATCAGGTTAACCTATAATGCCTTGAATGTTTTTCATGAACAAAAATGACGCCATTCTAAACACCTCAGTCTATTTTCAACCAACAACAAAGTAATTCATCACCGGCCATCAACGTTGCCGCTTGCTGCACACTCGGCAAGTTATGGAGCCGATAATTATCGGCTCCGGAGGGACCGGAGGTTGCATTGTAATGCATCCTCCCATCCCACTTTTCGCACGTAGAAGCGTGCATCGATATTCATTCACCTTTTGCACAACACACAACAGTAATATTTCCAGTCAGGATCAGCATGTTCACAAAACGTTACCCACCTGCACTATTGTTATACGTCGTATCAATCAACATATCAAACAAGTCACTTATCTTCATTAGGCTCTCGACTTCATCTCAATAGCACATTGGCGTCCAGCCTGAAGGCAGTATCGGGTATGGACGGCCACCCACGTCCCACACGGCACCCAAGAGATAAGGGTGACACCTCGGCCCTTCAGGGCCTGATACCTGCATATCGCTGGTCACTGTAGCAGGAAGGGTGCTAACGCCCCCACTCCCCAGTTCATCAGGAGCGACATAGATTCCATCGTGCAGTTCCAGCTCCATCCATCACGTAAAGTGGAATCCTTCGGCGTTAAACGCCTGTAGCAGACTGAAACGGGGTGCAGAAAACGTCAGCGAGCCCGCACAAGATGACAAGAAAAATAAGTCTGGGAGCAAAAAGAAGCACACGCATCATGTCCAGGATAACTGACAAAATATCGTACAAACATGATTCATTCAGTGTGAATTTGCTCTCAGGTCAAACACGTTAGTGGGTTTACTCGTGTTCCACTTCAGAGCGCGTCTCACCCGAGGAAGTCGTCCATGTCCATGTGCCGAGCCCGCTTCTCCATGAAGCCGCCGTTGGTGAGGATCTGCTCCACAGCCTGCTTGACGTCGAATCCCTCTGGGACCGGCTGCCGGACGACCAGCACACAACCGGTTAGAGCAGCAGTAAAGAAACACAGAAAAACAAACTAGACGAGTGACATTGCTTAACAACCATTAAATTTGGGTGCACACAAAACTACAGACTGCGATAATAACCAACGTCAGTATATAACTATCAGCTCATGAGCTCAACAAGTTTCAACAAAACCTCTTCGAATCAACTCTGGTGGCTTACGAAATCATCCAAATCAATGCACTCGGTAGGAAACCTATCAGAGGGACAGGGGTGCCTGTCTACGGTGGTCATCGGCGTGGAAAGCTGTCACGCAGGTGACCAACCTTGTTGTTGACGGAGCACCAGGTGGTAAAGTTTTTCTCCAGCATCTGGGTGACGGTGGCCAGTCGGAACGCGGCGCCCACCGTCTTGTGTTTTCGCACAAACACCACTCGCACCAGGCCGTCCCACTCCTTGAAGTTGATGGGCGGCGGCGGGTTGCGCGGCTCCAGCCGAATCACACTCGACTCCACCTTGGGAGGCGGACGGAAGTTGTTCTTGCCAATCTGTTGGAGTTAGGACGGGGCTAGTGAGAAGAAATGGGACGGGTAAGAGCCGACAAGATGAGTGAACATTCCGGAATTTATCGGCATAATATTAACAGCAATAAACGAACTTTATACGTTTCCACGAAACCAATAAAAACCGAGACTTTCTTAAAAGTTTTCACCGTAACAAATACAATCGGACCATGCAATACACGAGGGAAATCTAAAAATATGTATAACTTCTTTCGAGCCGAACGCATCATGCGACCTTAATGATCCCACCACAGTCGTCTCGAGTCTCACAGCAGTGCACACCAGCACCCACCGAATACGAGAATACTCGTATATACACCAAACACCTCACCTTCATGATGTGGTCGACCCTGGCCAGCAGCTGAGTGTTGACCGAGAGGCGACAGTAGAGCTTGTCCCCGGGCGGCGCCACCAGCCGCTGCGCAAACTCCCGCTGGAACATCAGAATGGCGCAGCGGAAGAACGGCCGGTGCAGCAACAGCTTGAACACGAACGGAGACGAGATCTGGTACGGCAGGTTAGCCACGCACACGTCGAAGAACGGCAGCTCGCTCTTGAGCACGTCTCCGACGATGATCTGCAGTTTCTGCTGGAGGGGTGTGCCTTGGACACGCTTCTGAAGCTCGGCCACCATCCTGAGGACATAGGGTGCGGATTGTAAGCGTTTGAGCTCCTTTCAGAGCTGTGAACTGAAGCACACAGAATAGACACACAGCACAGAATGAAATGCAGAGTTGCCACATATGTATTTGCAATTACAGTCAAATGCTCGGGCTATTCAGTATCCATCTTAAGGAAAACTATCTGCTATTGCAAGGTCGGGCTCAAAGTACTGAATACTTACTACTCACTCACCCCTAAAAATACAGGTTCCTCTAGATCAAGCTCCCTTCAGCATTCAAGCTTTTAAGAGAGGCTTCTAAACAAAAAGCAAGTACCAGGATGGCAATGCTCAGCACTTACCTTGGATCCACTTCACATGCAATGACCTTCTTCACTTTTTCCAGCAGTTTGACAGTCATATTTCCAGTTCCAGGACCCACTTCCAGCACAACATCTGTTGACCTCAGGGCTGCCTTATCAACCATACTTTGGATGATCAACGGGTTCTTCAAAATATGCTGACCTAGGTCCGTGTTGAACATCAAACCTGAAACAAAATTGCAACATAAGTTAGGTACTTGTAAAATTGATGTGCTTGCAAGATTGCCTTGTTATAGGTTTTCGCCCTTTTCAAAAATTTCCGTTAACTATCATGACAGCTAGCGAGCACCCAGACTGGAAAACATCCATCCATACACACACCCGGTACACTACGTCGGACGCCCGTGAGACCCTCTTTTGCATGATTTGCGCCGAAAATTGGGTGCCTATTAGTGCCAAAAATCAAGGCACGTTTATATAAAGCACATGTGCACATCTACCGATCAAGGCTATATCTACCAGACAGAGTGTTCCGGGGCCTTTGACGCTCTCCCATGTTTGAGCGTCCGAACAAGTTTTTAATTTCCACGGAAACCCAATACCTCAATACGCCTGGCGCACTGTAGCGTCGTGCCGTGAAACAAGGCTGGAGCAGGAAGTTCCGGGGCCACAAAAATCGGCGGAGCGGTGTGTTCGAGGCTGGCGGAAGCCAGCGAGGGCCGGGGAGAGGAACTGCACGTGCTCCGGCACATCAGCTTCTTTTCGGCACACGACGCAGAGCACCGCGGGGCACCGCTTGCCTGGGCACTGCTGGCACGTCGCGGAGTGGAGACAGCCGATTCGGTGCACGTACTGGAGCGAGCGACCCCAGTGGCCCGCCCTCATCTGGTGCACCGTAACGGCGTCCTCTCGGAGTCTCGGTCCTCTCCGGGGATAGGGAGCGGCGGCGTGCTCCCGAGGAGTGGCGAGTGGCTTGAATAGTGACTTGGACCAGTTGTCCCCCCCTGGTCAGCGAGCAGGCGTTTGAGGGCAGAGCGGCCGCTTGTTTCGCCAAGTCGTCCGCGTACTTATTCCCCTGGATACCGCAGTGGGCAGGAACCCACTGCAGTCTTACTTAATGACGCTTGGCGATGTTCAACAAGGTCTTCCATGCCTATCTCTATGCCAAAAATCACCTGTTAAAAACTCACCTGTTAGGTTTCCACAACCTCGGCTCGTAAAGGAAGGAGTGGAAACCTATTGCGTGCAGACGGGCCAATTCCAGTAAAAGTATACATTGAGTCCGAGTGACTGTTAACAGATAAAATTTTCATATTCTTACATTATTTGACATCCTGAATCCGAAAATGATACTTATATGTCCTGGAAATAAAATAAAAGAAAAAACATAATCAAACCTGACCTAACCTTACCTATTTACCTACAACCTACCAACCTACAACCTACAAACCTACAACCTAGCAACCTACAAACCTACCAACCTAAAACCTAAAACCTACAAACCTTCAACCTAACCTAACCTAAAACCTAAGTTTTTTTGCTGTTACATATTTGTATCAACAGCGTCACAATTGTCCACTCGGACCTAATATATACTAATACCCCAATTCCTTGGGTGGGCAGATGATTGCCAAGGGTTGTGGGGTCTCTGGGTGGGGACGTCTCGTCCCAAAACCTCTCCAGAGCCGCCCGCAGGGCGCAGGGAGTATCTGCTGCTAGACTGACCAGCGTGCCGACCAAATTCAGAGACCATCTTTCACCAGAGAATTATGCGGCCGCCCTGCACCAAAAAAAAAAAAAAATAAGCCGCTGCCATGCACTGAATTTGGCTCATGATAACATGCTTTTTGATTTTGCAGATTCGTCAAAACTTGACATTGTTTGTGTTACTGAATCTCATCTCCTCCAGCACATTCCAGACTCATTTGTAAACATTCCTAACTATAATCTCATTAGAAATGATACTAATGGTACAGTGTACAAACATGGTGTATGTGCCTATGTGCATAACAACATCACTGTTGATAATGTTCAAGCTCCAATTCCCAATGTTCTCACCTTCTGTCTTGTGTCTTATAATGTTTTTGTTGCTGTAGTCTACCGACCTCCCTCTTATTCTGACACTGAGAACGAACTTGTTTGCTCCTTTCTAAGTAATTTCTGCAGTGATAAGGAAGTGATATTGTTAGGAGATTTCAATCTCCCTGGACTTGACTGGTGCCATGGAAGTCCACTTAATAGTTCAGGAGGATCGAGGACAATCCAAATGTTTGTTGACATATTTAACTCTCTTGGACTTACGCAGTGGGTTACACAGCCAACCTACCCGAGGTCAGGCAATACACTGGACCTGGTCTTCACATCTGAGCCAGACCGTATTGGTCAACTTATGGTACAAGCCCCTCTCCCAGGTTGTGACCACTGTCCGACGATATGTGACTATGTCTTTGAAAATGTTGCTGCTGACCCTCATGGGAGGACAATGTCCCGCAGGAGAAACTGGCACAAAGCTCGATATGCTTCAATGCGTAGATCACTACAGCTCTTGGACTGGGACTTCGAGCTGGCCTACCTGAATGTGGAGGACTCGTTTAACCGTTTCACAGCCATCATTTCAGAGATGGTAGACCTACATGTGCCAACACAGCAAGCTAATCCCCCTAAACCACCCTGGAAAACAAGACCCCCGATTTCCTTAATTCACAGGCGCCAGGCAGCTTGGCAGACGTACAAGAGGGTGAGGCAGCAATCTGGCAGAAGCTCTACTGGTACACTGGCCGCATATAGGCTTTTCTCATCTGTAAACCGCGAGTTGCGAAATTTTGCCGCCAGATCGCAGTGTGATTACGAATCTAGTCTTATTGACAGGTCAAAGGACAATCCCAAACTGCTCCATTCTTATATAAGAAACAAGAAGACCGGCAGACCAGCGGTTGGTCCCTTGCTTTTGCAATCTGGTCACCATACTGATGATCCCACAGCTATGGCTGAGCTACTTGCAACATCTTTTGCTTCTGTATTCACCACTGTCACCCCCACTAACCCCTCGCCCCACCAGGCCTTCGACGGGACTCTCAGCCATGTAGAAGTATGTACAGAGAATGTTCGCCATGCTCTCAAAGATCTCGACCCTAACTCTGCCATGGGCCCCGATGGAATACATCCACGGGTATTGAAGGAATGTGCTGATGACCTCGCCTACCCTCTACAGATTATATACACGAGATCACAGAGAGAGGGACGACTACCCTCTTGCTGGAAAAAAATCCCTAGTTATACCTATTTTCAAGAAGGGCTCCAGGTTTGATCCACTAAACTATAGACCTATCAGTCTGACGTCTGTTGTGTGCAAAACGATGGAACGCCTGATTTGCACGCAGATACGTAATTACCTGGAAACGAACTCACTGCTGACCTCAAACCAATTCGGTTTCAGGACTGGCAGAAGTACAATGGACCAGCTGCTCCTAGCTTATAACACAGTGTCTAAAAACACGGACCTTGGTGGCGTGACTGACGTCATTCTCTTCGATTTCAGTAAGGCGTTCGATGTCGTCTGCCACGATCTCATGATAACCAAACTGAGATCGATTGGTTTGACAGGTGCTCTCATTGACTGGATACGTTCATTTCTCCAGGGCAGACAGATGCAGGTGTGTGTGAAGGACATGATAAGCCAACCTAGGGTTGTCAGCAGTGGTGTACCGCAGGGCTCTGTCCTTGGGCCCCTGTTGTTCCTGGTTTATATTGACGGCGTAGCATCACAGCTGAGAAGTGAATATAAAATTTTTGCAGATGACCTGAAACTTTATGCCTGTGTGAAACATGCCCCAGGAACCTCACCAGTGTTATCCTCTGCCCAAGTACAAAAAGACATTGATACACTGCAAACCACAGCAGCATCGTGGTGTCTGAAAATGAACCCAAAGAAATGTGCAGTTCTCCGCTTTGCGAGGCCCCGCGCTAACTTGCCTTCACCGGTGTACTTCCTTGATGGACAGCAAATCCCACATGTAGATTCTCACTCTGATCTTGGTGTTACTGTCGACTCGCAGCTTAAATTTCACGAGCACATTAGGACTGTTGCACACAAGGCTAGCGGTCTGGCCCATAGTTTTCTTAAGTCTACCGTTTGCAGGTCTCGCGCATTTATGTTGTTCTTGCTCACTACTCATATCCGACCTGTTATAGAATACTGTTCATGCTTGTGGCATACAGGTTATCTGAAAGACTTGCGGGTCCTAGAAAATGTTCAGAGGAAGTGGACAAAGCGAGTGGATGGAATGAATGGATTAAGCTATGCAGATCGCCTACAGTCCTTGAACCTGTATTCTGTCCAAGGGAGGCTCATTCGTGCGGACTTGATACAATGTTGGAAGCTGTTTAACGGTAGATCGTGCCTGAGTCCAGATGACCTGTTCGACCGCCCTCCACAGGAGCGGACTAGGGGCCACTGCTTTAGGATTTTCCCCACTCTCACCCACACAGACACTAGAAAGCGCTTTTTCTCTGTCAGATGCATTGCTGTTTGGAACTCACTGCCTGAGGATGCTGTCCGTGCACCTAACATAGCTAGCTTTAAGAAAATGATTGAGGTACATGCACGTAATAGCCTGTTCAGATATGATTGAGGATGAGCAGTGCTGATTTTGTAAGTAGTTATAGGTATGTAGGTTACTTCCTCGTAGCTAAGCGTGTAGAATGTGACTGTGTTCATCTGACGAGCTTGTGGAAGACGCACAATACCAGTCAAAACTCCCAGGACTAATGGTCAAGAATATCACAACTGGGCTGGCGCGTCTGGCATTCAGGGTTCCTTCCAATTCCTTTTGGTCCTTCCACCTTGCCTTTTCTTTCCGACACAAATGGGAACCCAACCAGGTAAGAGAACCAGGTAAGAGATAAGTTATGCCAGACATGCACTGAAATTTTTGGCGCAATTCCGCCACTATCCCGGACATACGCGGCAAAACATGTATTTTTTCCAGTCTGGGTGAGCACTGCGGATAAACGTACAAACTACTTTTTCCCTTTAAATTCATAAATGGATTTTGTAATATGATAAGCAATCAAACAAAATTAACGATTATTAATTTCAACACTTGTCTCAACGTATTGCAGCTGTCACAGACCGAGACTGTAATGATAGGTACGGAGGTACGGAGCCGGAGGTATAGGTACCTACCTACCCATACCCACTTGACACTTACCTTGTTGCTGTACTTCTTTGTGAACTCGTGACTTCTTCTCTCCTTTTACTTTTGGCATGACTGCAGATGTCTGCTTCCAATGGGACCAGACAGAAGATAACAGATATTTTTAGAAGAAATCCAAAAAGCAGAACGCCTCTCGATGTGCCAGCCCCTGTGTTGTGTGATTTTCGTGTAATGCACGTGGTCGCGCGGACAGTGGACCGTGGTAAAACAAAATTCCTATTCTACATACCATCTGCTGTCTGCTTTTGGGCTCGCTTGTTTCTATGGCAACTTGCAAAAGTGTAGTCATTGTATTTTTCTGCCTGTCTCATGAAGCAATTTTTTCAGAAAATTGCTTCTTCGTTTTTCCCTAATTTTTTGAATCAAAACATTTATAATGAAACATCGAAAAAAACTTGTTAAATCATTGAAGGTAACTGCTTCCTGCAGATTGCCAATAGCTATTGAACATCCTTCAACTGTCACTTTTGCGCAAATAATTAGCAAAAACGAAAGGCATGCTGCTAGTAAATTCTTGTTCACGAGTATCATTCAAATGATCAATACCAAATTCATCTAAATTCTCGTGCAAGTTTTGGTGACACGAGGTGTAAGGCGTCGCATTTATTCAGGTATATATTTTGTATAGAAAATGCAAGTTGACGTATCTAAGGTATATTTATTATAAGCATCGCGTAAACTCTGGGAAACGTTTCAATTCAAATTGATCTCAATCTCAATCTTGATTGCGCGGGAAACACAAACTTTTCTGATAAGTGATGACTGGTGATTGAGATTGGCGTGCTGGCGTTGATTATAGTGGATTGATAACCGGGCTCTACAGAGCCCCCCCCCCCTTCTATCTTGATCTCCCACGGTATATCAGAATATAGAGAACTATCTCTACGAAACTTTGCATTGGTGATTTAGTTTGTGACTTGTGAGGGATAGGTAGCCGGCCCGGTACCTAGGTAGATAATCTGAACTTGAACAGTGTTCATACTTATACTTCATGCTTCATATCACTGGACATTGAGCAAATTGATATCAGTATTAGCGTAAGTGGTTTTACAAAGTATTTATATATGTCAATTGCAATCTCAATCTCAATCTTGGTGAAAGCATGCAATTGCAATGTGACCTTCTAGAATGCTTAAGGACATCATTTGCTGGGGAGCATTCTGGTCTAGGTGTAAGTTCCTTGCCTCTAGATGTAGCCATCCGCAGTGACAGCGGAACACCTTCAATTAAGGGGGGCACTGCCGACTTTTGGTCCCATTCTTTCCATACAACACCCATAGGGCTAATGTTAAAATGTCAAAATCAAAGGGTGCCTCCCCATTTGGGTTGGATTCCCGGGCAATGCATGTGGCATTGCCGCTGCATGGCCGCTTGGAACAGAGTGAGAGTTCCGGTTAGCACCTTGGTCCACCGGATATGGTGCTTAACCCAATGGTTTCGAAATGTTCCACCAGGAAATATTCATTAAAACTTTAAAAAATAACTAGCCATGTTTCAAGAGCAGTACAACTATTTTTCTCAGAAAATATATAACAAAACATAAGTAACCTGATCAACCCTTACCTACAAAACCTACCAACCTATAATGGGTGGTGGTGGGTGGTGATAATTGAAGTGCAAAGTTTTCTCTCATTCATGCTGCCAAAAACACTCATATGTTCTTCTGAAGTACTGAAGGTCCTCTGAAGACTACATTTTATTGCACTCACCTAGCTATTATGCAGACGTATATTAGCTTAACTATGCATCTTTTGGTTTTCAGAATTTCTTTAAAGAATATGTGACTAGTGATTAGTATCTTCTAATCAGCATAGATAAAGTAAGATCACTCTCACTCCAAGTGTCACTCTTGATGTGCTGACAGCAATATTTTCAATTCATATCCTTTCAGACTTTGCAGCTAGCCTTACTCTCTTCCCTTTCCTTTCAGTTGACCACTATGGACGGGAAGCCAACCACATCTGAGGGCGCCGGTGATGCCGCCGCCGCGGCGCCCCCCACGGACGCCCCTGAGGCGCCCGCAGCTCCCCTGCTGCTGAAGGAGCGCACGGTGGAGGAGCTGATGCGCCTCCACTTCAGTTCCCCGCGGACGAGGCTGGGCGCTGAGGGCCTGCGGTTGACCACGATGGCGCTGCAGCTGTACGTGCGGGAGGCAGCACTGCGCGCCTCCGACCAGGCTCGGCTGACGGGCGCGCCGGAGGTCGGCCTCGAGCATCTGGAGAAGGTGCTGCCACAGTGGCTGATGGACATCTAGTGGAAGTGGTTGATGGGCGTCCGAGTATGGAAGAAGAAGCTGGGATAGTGGAGTGGATGACGCATCTAGAGTACTCAGTCCGGTAGAATGTGCTGGTTGCAATGTTGCTCTGACTGAGATGCCTGATGTGAAGGAGCTGGATCTGAAAGAAGTTCTGAATGGCCCAAAACGCTGAAGATACGTGGTTTGAAACGAACGGCACGGCATTTGAGCTGCTTCTGTCGATAACTATACTCCACTTTAAAGTTGCATGTGTCTGGAGGCTGGAGGGACATACGGAGGTCAGATCGTTTCGCATGCATCCCTAGCGTGCGACACTCAAGTCGGAGGTACTAAAGATGTGTAAGAATATTGCAAGGTTTCTAAGTTGAGGTGCAGTCATTGACCGTTGATGGAACACAGGTGAGTTTAACGCTCTATTGTACTCTGTTTAATAACTTGTAAAATATGCCAGCTGGTGACCTGTGACCGAATACTCGATCCAGCAATATGATGCCAACTTGTGTCTTCATTTGCTTGTCGATTTTAGCGTTGTAGTTTACACTTACAAAAAAGTATTCCCTGGTTCCTCATAAGTTTATGTAGCGTTAACGATTGCTTGTGTCTGTGGTGTTTCTGTAGGAACTGTGAGATCACATGACATCACTAATACATCAGTCGCTCCGGTTCCCAAATGACATCACGTCATGACGTAATCACATCATGATGTCATAACGTCATGTGTATAGTTGCGACCCGACCACCCAATACAGCGGTGACCTGAAGGTTCTATGTTCTCTGTCTCTGTGCATTTAAATCGATGTCGGCGGTGCTGTTAGCCTTCATTGCAGTGTCCGGTGTCATTTTTAAAGGCGTGCTCCTCACGAGTTAGCCGGTGTCAGCGCGATCAGTTGGCGGTAATATAAGGTGAAATGGGGTTTAGCTAATGGGGCCCATTAGCTGATCTGACCGGTGTGTGTTAACCATTCGTGCTCTGCATATAGGCGCGTGATTGTGCGTGAGCTAGATAATGTACACTGTGTAACGTTGGCTGTTGGTACGGTGTTGTCAGTGTGGAGCGCTCATGTCCTTGTCACATACACACACATGGTTGTTCATTGTTGTCATTAAATATTTATTACCAATATTTAGCTTGATATGGCAGCGAAACTAAGAACGTTTTCGAACACATTCCGATAGTGATCGCAATGATTTAACATGTAACGAAAGCATACTCTCCGTTTTTTGGTTTAGAAATCGACAAAGCAAGCGGGGTAATTGGTATCATAAATATTTTATGTAAGTCGTTTCGCCGATTTCTATGATACGGGGTTGAAACCATAATGGCTCGTTAGGATACTGGCTCTGTCTATTCTCAACACACTCATGATATGATGTACATTGGACAATCTCGAGTCTGCTCACAAACATAGAATTAACATAGCACGTCCACCAATAGGGGCGGACTGATGACGTCACCCGCTGGAGCTGTCTTAAATGATGCAGATGATAAACATATGGGAAATAGACATAATCTGACATTAGCAGTGATGGCCCGTATGGCCGCTGGTACGCCCGGCGCTCCGGTCCTGCCGTGGTATGGCCGCGGACCACCTCGCCATTCCGGTGCTGGATCGGCGGGACGTCTTAGTTTTCACCCATCACCAGCTGGACAAACTCTGAAACATTCATGGGTTGTTAAAATCGGTGCTTGAGTCATTGGACTCATGCGTTGCATTTGTATGCATTGTGTAAGAAGGTTATAGACGTATTTTGAGTCAGTATACTGATAGTAAGAAAACACCAATAGTTCGATATTTGCTCACATAATCGCTGTTTTTTTTACAAGCTCCGAAAATATCCACCTTTATTACGGTCGGGTTTCGCTACACATGTGTTCTACTCCCTTATGTCATCTAGGCACGAGTAACCTACCCCCCCCCCCCGTATCCCCCCTGCCCCATGCTGTCCTCTGACCGGTGTGTGTTAACCAGCGTGCGCCGTCTGTCCGGTAGGCGGTTACCTGAGTATGTGATCCTGTTCTTGCCGTCCTCGTCCACCTCGTCCACCATTTCCTCGACTGTGGACAGGGACGACCGCCCGTCAGGTGGACAGCTCAGCGTGCAGCGGTGAGTACCGGATCCACGCCACATTCCACATGCACATGGTCAGGGCCAGCCCGCCGCCAGAGCAGGCGGCGCGATGTGAGCAGCATACGAACTGATCGTCCCGAGGCTGCAGGCCCGAGTTTTAGCCGGGTAACGCGATATGCACATTGCACACATGCGGTCGGCTGGTATGCACCGGGAAGTTAGTTCTGTTTGAAAATTTTCTATGCATTGGAAGTTGAATTATATGGAGGAATAAAAAAATGCGTTATACCGATGTAGCGAATTCAACGTATGTACTCGTAGGTAATGGATATCTCGTTCAAAGGGCCACGAAATTGACCTAGAGGGTGGGTAGAGGGTGAAAAAGAAATTCGCATTGTTTGAAATTGTTGGAAATGTTTGTGGTTGAAGAGCCAGTTTTAGTATTTTATTTATTAAAACCTCGGTCAAAACTCAGTCATCATAAAAATTTTGCGGCTTGATAAAGCTGCCGCTTATGTTTCAAGGAAGGAGATCCAATGAGTGTTGGTTACTTACTCTCATCTAGGCTGAAGTCCTTGCCCATATTTTTCAGGACTGCCCAGATCTCGTTGGGGCCGATCATGCCCATGTTCTTGCGGTCGAAAATCTGTAGAATAAAAAGATAGGTACTTGTCATGAATATCGTTTTATATCAGACTGCCAACAAACAGTGGTGCAAATGCTCTTACGTTTGGAAATTTGGAAGAGTTGTGGCTTATGATGAAATTGAATTGAAGACAAGACACAAGAGGGTAGTAGACACGCGATGCTGATTGCTGGTATTTAGGTAGTTGGTAAGTGGTTTCGCAGCATGTTAATATCCCATGAAGCGTGGTGAAAACAAAACTTAACCCGCGCACCGACGGGGGTCTGCGCCAACTTCGCACCGACGGGGGGGGGGGGCGGATGACCGCCCCCCCCCCCCTGAGATCTCGAGAACGAAGCAAGATAGCGACAAGCGGTAAACGGCATCGGATACGCATGGCCAAGATCTACAATTTTTACTAAGGTCATTTTCAGGTCAGGTCAAAGATGACGTCACAGGGGTCGAAAAAGTCAAAATGGCGGCGCTAGATATGGAGAGAGTTTTTCTCGAATAACTTTCGAATTAGTCAAGATAGGAACAAACTAAGGGCATCATCGTGATCCTCTCGTCAATCCGCATCGAATGATATATATGTTGACCTCGAAAGGTCAAGGTCAAAGGTTGACCTCAGGTCACGTGACCTCGAGGTCATCATGTATATCATTCGATGCGTCTTGACGAGCTGAACACAATGAGACCATCCACGCGTCTGTATCTTGTTCCTGTACGGAGTTATTGGCCAAAAACCTTTGGTGACCTTTGATGACGTCACATGACCTCACAGCCGCCCAACAGCAAAATAGACCTCAAGGTAGTGAAGGTTGATCGTATATGAAGTCATGTATGGTATATGGGGCCATTCCGACCCGTTTTAATGGTAAAAACAGGGAGTTGATTTTTCCCCCATTGACTTATAATGGGGTCGCGAAATTGACCTGACCTTAGGTCACCGATATCAAAATTCCGAGATATACAAATTGTAGCTACTAATGACCTAATAATATCCTGCGACTTTCAAAGGCCTCCGACATCTACTTTAGCTCTGGCACGGTGACAAAGTTGCAAAAAGTGACTTGAGGTTGGGTCATTCAAAGTGACCTGGTGACCTGACCTTAAAAGGTAGGAGGTTGAAACTTGCACACCATGTGTAAAATTGATGAGGTTATAGTCATACCAAATTTCGCGGCGCGTAGGGGGGCGGATATCCGCCCCCCCGTCGGTGCGAGGGTTAAGTCAAAAACGACGTGAAATGCTGCATGTTACGGGTAAGGAACACCGCATGCTGCTATGGCTCGATTTGGGTGTTCTTACCTGGAATGTTTTCCGAAGAGCCTGGTCGCGTTCGAAGGCAGACAGCCGCTCCTCTTCCATCCGGGTCCGGGCCAGTGCGTTCCGGAAGTCATCGAAGGTAATCAGGCCGTCCCCTGTGGCAAAACCATTGCTGATAATTTTCCCCTCCGAGAGTTCGTTGCAAAGGGGAAGAGCATGACTTAAAATGAGATCTTATTACGAGCGAGCGCGAACCGAGTCTTTCCTAAATAAAACTGAAATAATCGCCCCGGCCCGACTTGACCTGACGCGAACTGCTGTAATGCTTTTGAGATAAAAAATCGCAACCGTGCAGACGTTTGACGATGTTTGTTGGGTGGCCCCATCCCCTGTACCCCGTATTCGACCCCCCTTGATGCACCTGATTGACCGTCTCGGGACTTGCCACTATGAATTAGTGCCACTATGAAATATATTACCACTACCTCGGCTCTTTCATAGCGCGCGACGTGTGGAAAAGGCAGAGTAGTCGTCGCGAACTGTGACCAAGTGAACATTAACTTGCCAGACTGGCAGCAGTGGATTGCGGGGCAGATGACTCATCAACACCGAAATGGGAGCGTGTATTTTTCCTTAACTACTGAGTCTCATGCAATGTGGAATATTGCTGAAGTAAATAACCACGTGCTTTTCCATAGGTATCTACGTCAGCTTATTTGCTCGGTGGTTATGTGCATTGAAAGTTACTTCACACCTCACTCACGAGACTGCCTCAAATTTCTACCTCTATGTAGGGTAATTGACATGAATGACTAGGCCAAGACTAGGCTTGGACTAGGCGAGGTTCGTAGGTCCGTAACAAGTTCATAATCTTGGTAGGTACCTTGATGACTTACCTATAAGATCAGGGTATATTGAATGAGATATCGTTTGCTAAATTAGACCACGATATAGGTGACTTTGCAATTTACGTTCAAGATTACATGCACTGTCCACTGCATTCCCTTATAATCGTTTGAGCGATCAAACCCTCAGACGGTAATCGTTGTGTTCGCTTGGCTTTGAAAAATAGGTAACACACAGCAGTGCTAGGCTAGGTAAATGGTTACACGGTACACTACACCTTCATTGAGGGACTCCCAAATATTTTGAAAATATTGCGGCAAGGCTCAAGGTGACCATGGATCATACTGGCACCGTGCTGTTAGCATTTTTATCTATTTTCATTGACCCGTCTGGTTCAATTATCATCGAAACAACAGACTACTGCAACAAGACTCTTTGCCGGGGGGACTGGGTGCACACCATGTGTGAGCACCCAGACGAAACACCCGGCCCGGCCTGCCTTCAAATCTACAGCACGCCAATAACAGACAGCCAAAAAGAAGAACTGCTCGACGTGCACAATCGCCTGCGTGAACATGTCGCATCAGGGAAAGAAACGCGTTGCCAAGGTGGGCCGTTGCCGACAGCAGCGGACATGGGCGTTATGACGTGGAACGATGAGATTGCACGAATAGCCCAACGGTTGGCTCTGACATGCGTTCGCGGGCATGATAAATGCCGAGACTTGAAGATGATGTATCTTGGACAGAACCTCGCACAAATCACATACCAAAAGGAACAGAAGAGCCCGCCCAATATGACAGCTTTGGTTTATGGATGGTATGATGAGGCGCCCCTTTTCAGCAACGACAACATTCATCACATTGATATACCCGAGGATGCCGGACATTTCACCCAAATGTTCTGGGCGGAAACTTACAAACTGGGCTGTGGCTACACCAGCTTTTTCTCGGAGTATGCTAATGGATGGATTGTCTACTTAGTCTGCAACTACGGGCCCACCGGCAACTGGCAGTTCGGCGACATGTACCTGATCGGACCGCCGTGCTCCAAGTGCCCGAACGGTACGACGTGTGGCGGCGACAGTCGCTACCCGAGCCTGTGCAGCTCGGACGACGGTGAGGTTCCTGACTCGCTGGCCACCGTAGGACTCGTGTACCACGCTGGTCAGGACGCCTTGAACGTGTGGCACTGGAGCGTCCTGATTTCATTTGTGGCTGCTGTGCGGGCTATACCATGAGAAGGTACTTCGATCTCAAGTTAATGAGTTGAATTGGCTGAGGAGCTGCGCCTGCATCCGCTTGCAGTTTCTCTAGAACGACTGTTGCATATGCGACCATGCTCTCTTTGGCTGAGTAAAGGACTAGTGAATGAGAACGTACGTGCCAGGACGACATGTTTACTGTTTCATAGATGTGTATGAGTGATACTCTACAATCTACATGTTACATTATCCTTTCACTACCGTTTCATTATTGGTGTTGATAAGTGACTGAAAGTGTTATTGCCAATATATTAGAGTCAACGACAAAAATGTGAACATCAAATGTTACTATGACACATGAGTTTCGTCACGTCAGCCACAAGTCGTCGAATTACTTTGGAAAATAAAACGAACAAAAGTATACTGATCTTGATCTGTATCATCAGACATGCGCAATGCGCATGGATCCCAGAAAATGGATCTGAGATCTGATCCAACGGATTTTGATCTTGGATCCGACGAGACTATAGGTCCAGCTCTGTAATTCAGCGAGAGATCCATAGGGATCACAGATCCAAATCAGATTTTTTGCTTGAGATCCAGTGAGATCATAGATCCTCAGTTGTTTTTGTCAACACAGAAATCCTAAAGAAAACTTGTTGTAACTCACAAACGTTCTGTTTGAGTGATTTTATGTGATTGCACGTCATAATCCATAGTTTTGCGGCACGTATTGACATAGAAGCCCTTTAAAACATGGTTTCGAATGTTGTGCGTGGTGGGATCCACTCAGGATCCATGTTCTTGGTTTCTCGTCAGATCGTATGAGATCATAGATCCAAGATAAATTTTTCACGCCGAATCCGATGGTATCATAGATCCATCGTTCGGATCCATGCACATGTCTCATCACTATGAACTGAAGTGCATGTCCGATGCGTGGTTCCGTGGGGATGAATTGGAGTTTGATTCCTAACGAACAAGCGACGTGAGAAAAAAGAACAATAAGCAGATGGACTTATAACAATAAGAATTCGTATTTGTCCTAACTCGCTAAGTAAAACAAGAGTTACCTAATTGTCAATCTTTTTAAAAACCCGCGCACCGACGGGGGTCCGCGCCAACTTAGAGCCGACGGGGAGGGGCGTTTGACCGCCCCCTTCCCCACCCCTGAGATCTCGAGAACGAAGCAAGATAGCGAAAAGCGGTAAATGGAATGGGATACGCACGGACAATGTCTAAATTTTTTTACTAAGGTCATTTTCAGGTCAGATCAAAGATGACGTCACAGAGGTAAAAAGTCAAAATGGCGGCGCTAGAAATGAGTTTTTCTCGAATAACTTTCGAAGTAGCCAAGCTAGGAACTAAATTAACTAATGGCATTATCATGATCCTTTCGTCAATCCGCATAGAATCATATATGTGTTGACCTCGAAAGGTAAAGGTCAAAGATTGACCTCAGGTCACGTGACGTCAAGGTCATCATGTATACCAATCGATGCGCCTTGACGAGCTGAACACCATGAGATCATCCGCGCGGTTGTTTCTCGTTCCTGTAAGGAGCTATTAGCAAAAAAAAACTTTGGCGACTCCTGATGACGTCATATGACCTTACAGTTGCCGAGGAGCAAAAAAGGCGTCAAGGTAGTCAAGGTTGACCGTATATGAAGTCATTCATGGTATATTGGGCCATTCCGACGCGTTTTAGTGAAAAAGAAAAACAGGGGGTTGATTTTACCCCATTAGTGAGGTCAAGAAATTGACAACACCTTAGGTCATCGATATCGAAATTCCGAGATATGCAAATTGTACAATGGCGGTGTAGCTATCAATGACCTCATTACATCCTACGACTTTCAAAGGTCTCCGTCATCTACCTCCGTCATCTACTGCCGCGGTTTTCCCGATATTCACGAAAAAACGGGGGGAGGCGGTTAACCGCCTCCCCCTTGTCGGTGCACGGGTTAATACAATGATTATTGATTAGCCCCAACTACCTACTCACTTAAGCAAATATACTTGTTATATTTTAATGCATTTTGCAAATAACCGAATGAATTGCAAAGAATACCATATTTCTAGCAAGAGAGCTGTGCGCGATTCCGTCCAAGCTGCCAGTTTGTTGACTTGATTGAATGTGCGATGGAAGTAAAGAAGTCACTTAACAGGTCATCCACGAGGCTACTGCAAAATTATAGCTTCACATGTGCAAACCAAGGTGCAAACTTGGTGCAAACGGTCTTGGTGAAGGCCATATATGCCTTGGTGCAAACCTTGGTGCAAACGTAGTTTGGTGAAAAACCAACGGTCTACCGTAAATGTCGCACGTATATGGCTCACTAGAAAGCTCTAACGCAGGCTTTTACTTTTATACGGACTTGGCGTTTTCTGCACCAAGGTGCTCTTGATGAATTACATAATGTATTCCCTGTAGTAAGAAAAGCGATATACTGCAGCAGTCGGCATCTTAATTGGTGTGCTCTCAAATTTGTTTTAAGAAGTTGCATCCAGCGACCATGAATCTAACCGCTGTCTTGCTTTTGTCGCTTTTATCCATTTTGATTGGACTTTCTGGATCAATTACCATCGAAACAACAGACTACTGCAACAAGACTCTTTGCGAGGGGGACTGGGTGCACACCATGTGTGAGCACCCAGACGAAACACCCGGCCCGGCGTGCCTTCAAATCTACAGCACGCCAATAACAGACAGCCAAAAAGAAGAACTGCTCGACGTGCACAATCGCCTGCGTGAACATGTCGCATCAGGGAAAGAGACGCGCTGCCAAGGTGGGCCGTTGCCGACAGCAGCGAACATGGGCGTTATGACGTGGAACGATGAGATAGCACGAATAGCCCAACGGTTGGCCCTGACATGCGTTAGCGGGCATGACAAATGCCGAGACTTGAAGATGATGTATCTTGGACAGAACCTCGCACAAATCACATACCAAAAGGAAGACAAGAGCCCACCCAATATGACAGCTTTGGCTTATGCATGGTATAATGAGGCGCCCCTTTTCAGCAACGACAACATTCATCACATTGATATACCCGAGGATGCCGGACATTTCACCCAAATGTTCTGGGCGGAAACTTACAAACTGGGCTGCGGCTACACCAGCTTTTTCTCGGAGTATGCTAATGGATGGAGAGTCTACTTAGTCTGCAACTACGGGCCCACCGGCAACTGGCAGTTCGGCGACATGTACCAGATCGGACCGCCGTGCTCCAAGTGCCCGAACGGTACGACGTGTGGCGGCGACAGTCGCTACCCGAGCCTGTGCAGCTCGGACGACGGTGAGGTTCCTGACTCGCTGGGCATCGAACTCGTGTACCACGCTGGTCAGGACGCCTTGAACGTGTGGCACTGGAGCGTCCTGATTTCATTTGTGGCTGCTGTGCGGGCTATGCCATGAGCACTTCGAGCTCGTTCGAGTGAAGCTGTAACAATTACCTTATAAATTTGATCATCTGAGTGCGCTGGCGCGTGCAGTTTTTATGGATGACTGTTTGATTGGCGGCCGTGCTATCAGTGGATGGGTCCGGGTCAGACTTTCAAAAACTTCAGGAAATCCAGCCCATACGAAACAAGCCTGGAATGCTTGGTGTACAGTCTGTCTTGAAAGTACCGCAGCATGGGCTGCGGCGGCCCGGCGAACTAAAGATCGGGAGCTCGGTGGTTTGAGAGCCCCAGAGCACGTGACGGCAGTGAGCCAGGAGAGAGTGACCGGGCAGGTCGCGTGGGGTGCCGCTCTCCCTTACTCTTTCCACCCCGCTGCTGCGCCTGTCGCCCGGGGGCACGGGCCGTCTGCGAGCACGAGTGGAGAACTTGACCGGCCCGGCCGATTCCCGGCATGGTGGCCGGATCACCCTTGGAACCGTTTTATTCTCGACGAAAAGACAGACGTAGCCAATCTTAAAGCTGAGCGCGACTGCTTACATTGTTATCAGAACATGATACATATTGAACAATAATTTACGATCATGGAACAGAACAGAATAAATTAATAAAAACTGAAGTAATGATGTGAATAACAACACAGAACAAGGCCAACGCAGTATACTTTGTCGAAAATCTCAGATTAACTATTGGTTTAAATCTGATCGATTGATCCAGTAACTTAGAATAAAATAATTTGTTTCGTATTTATTTATGCGAGATAAAAAAGAAATCCCATTCTCAACACCCTTGTTGAGATTGAAACACAATAGTATTTAAGCGGAAGCCAATGGAAGTAAGATGGAATGGTAACCTTTTGCTCATAACCTAAGGAAGCCAAAGCAAATCCTACGCTAAGGCGTTTTCCAATTTCCGTCATAATCATTATCATGCCAATAAAAAAAAACGTTTCGAACCATTCAAACTATAGACGGCCAATGGCTGCTACATAAAATAAAAATACATAACAAAATAACTAACACATTATACAACTTTGTCTCCTATCCATGAGGCAAATATTTTCATTTTACGATCGAATGGCCAAGCAATTGTTCGTAGCGCCTACTTCCAGGTAGAGGATACGATCACGATAATCGTATACCAAACACGAATTATGCGGATTTATGCGCAAGGTCACTGAGATTATGGGTATTAACAGATAGCGGCATATTAATCTTTCAGTTCCTGAGTGCTCACTGTTCGCTGTTCAGTTCAAGATGAGAGTTGAGATCATACGAGGCTGTATAGTGTGAATTTTATTCGTTTAACGATCTATCAAAACTCCTCTCTTCCCCTCTCTCTCTCCCCCTTCCTCTCTTTTCCTCTCTCTCTCTCTCTCTTTTTCTCTCTCTCTCTCTCTCTCTCTGTCTCTCTCTTTCTATCTCTCTCTCTCTCTTTCTCTCTCTCTCTCTCCTTCTCTCTCTCTCTCTCTCCCTCTCCCTCCATAAGATGCTGAAAATTTTAGGAGACTCCAACAAATGTTGCAGAGTCTAGCTATCAAAGCAGTCCGGGAGAGTTGCGTCAATCCCCGTACCGGCAAGTGATACGTTTAGCTTATGGCAGTGCACTGGTCCGGAGTCAGAGTCGGAGTCGCAGCCGATCAGCAGGCCGAAGTCAGATTTAGAGTTGCAGTCCGGACAGCGCCGTCGCGACTCAGAAGCCTGTTTCTTTATATTTTCGGCTTTAAAGTAGCTGGCTAGATTTATTACTTAACAAAGCAGGCTCTCTGCACACTGCTGCGTTGGGGGGTGGGGGGGGGGGCTGCAACATCCCTCCATCCATACCTGATAAGTGATATTACATCTTTTCTTAACATTTGTAATGGCGGAATGAATCAGACCCAAGATCTTTCAAGGTCGGGTCACTTAGGTTACGTTATACATAGTCTCCTAGCCTCAGGAAATGTTATAATGCTCGCCGGCACTGAATAATGCTCGAGAGGTCACCGGTTGACTTGAGATCTTAACCTTCACACTTACAGCCTACAGGATCAGGTCAAACCTATGCGTCCCTCACGGCTTTTTCACGAATAACTCGCGTAAAAAGCGACCGACCGACCGACAACGACAAAACTTTCAATATCCTCGAATTGATCAATGTTATATCTTCCCTAAAAATATGACCCTTAAGTCTTAACCCTTTGACCTGTAATCTCTTTCACGATACCATGTCGGGCCAAAATGCCGATTCAATGCATGTCAGCGCATATTATCTACGCGTTTCCAGGCATTTTGTGACAGGAAACATCAGGTCCCAGCAGGTGAAATGATCAGGACCGACCTGATCATTTCACATGTCCGATCAGGAGCCGAACGGCTGTAAGGCGGGTTCCTACGGACCATTTACATCAGTAGACGCTATAAAGCGGCCCATACTGGAAATGTTAGAAGTTGTTACCAGTCACTGTGTTTCGTAACGACGCGCACAATTTTTTTTTTGGAAGCCCTATCTTAATCTGAGCCAAACGACGGAGGCCACACCCGCTGTCCTCTGGCCGGATTACATGTGTAACACGTAAATGTCTGGCGAGGCTCGAATGGGAAGCATCACTTTCCATTTATCAAAACTTTCATGTCAGGAAGGGAATTACTACGCTTAGCTGGTGTCTCTGTATAAGCCATAAGGTATTCATAAAACAGCGCCTTGTCTGCCGCACTGGCAGCACCGAGAGCCCGCTCACTCGCGCCCATCCCTCTCCTCCCTCCCTCCCCCCCCCCCCCCCAGGGTCAGGCGATCCAGTGGCCCTCAAACCTGACCGCCCTCCGCTGCGCCGGCCCACCAGCGCCACCCTGCCATGCTGCGGTACTTTCAAGACAGACTGTACATTGACACGTGGCACGGATCGTGGTGTCAATGCCACGGGGTCCGATAATGCTTCAGGACACGTGCTCTGCTTCTGCCTTTCACGAACGGAATGTTTCGCAAGTAGGTAACAATTGAAGGCTGAAGCAATGAGGTAGTATCTGACTTTCCATGGCTTAAATCGTTCTTGATATGTTAATGAACTGAGTGGTTATATAAACTCGGCTGAAATTTGTCCTTTCGTTCCAATGCAATCTCAAATTTCTACAATTTTCTTTCCAGTTATTATGTTCGTGTTTATTTGATGTTTATGAAAACGATCACCAGGGTGGTGTTGGACACGACTTTCCTTTTGCATCCTGTTGCCGAGTATATGTGCCTTTAGTACTTACCATCCACATCCGTCTTGGCCATGACCTCGTCCATCTCGGTGTCGGTGATGTGGAGGTCGATGCTGCGCAGGACGTTGGTCAGGTGGACCGGGGAGATGTGGCCATCCTCGTCAGTGTCCAGCAGGTCAAACTGACGGCGCAGCGCTGAAAACAAAACAAAAATGCAACGATTATGCCTTAGAATGAACCTTTTCTGGTAAGCCATGAAAGTTCGTTTTAAGAGGATGAACATATGAAACTTCAGAGTTTGAATGCTCATTAAAGCTAATGAGAGCTAATGAGTAATGAGCTCTGCTAAAGCTCATTAGCTAGATAGTGGTTCCACTCACAGGCTAGGTCTTCTGCGCCGCGAAGGTTCTGGCTGCTCTCCAGGGCCATGGCGTCTCGTCTTTGGCAGGGGTGGACTGTGGGCACTACCGGGCTCCAACACTGGCTGGACACGCTCACTGGACTGCTGACGACGTCCTCACGAGCCGGAGCCGGTAGACTGGTGCTGCCGCCGCTGGCCGCACCGCCTATATAGCGACCGGCGGCCCCACGGCGGAGCCGTCACGGCCCGTGACGGCAGCGTCACGGGTGTGACGACCGAGGCGCTCAGGTACCGCGGGGTGATTCCCGGCTGGCCGGGGCTTCCTGCGCTGATACACTGGGACACTCACTGTGTGGGTGTGAGGGCATACCTACGTCATGTTTGTCAGGCTGCATACTAGACCTGAGCTGCGAGAGATGGGTGTGGGCGCGGGCGGGACTTTATTCGGTGGCCATCCATAGGTGTGGCTTCAGGCGGGACCTTGTTAGATGGTGATCCTGGTGGTCAGCCCCGTGTTAGGCCAAGTTCCGTAGCTTTGCGGACCAAACTGACCAAACTGAAGGACTAGAATACTGTAATACAGTAGCGGTTACGTACTACACATTTTTGCGTTTGAATTCAATCATTCGCCATAACTGTTTGAGCAGCCATTTCGATAATCGGCATTGAGCGCAACTATTCCGGTGTTGTGTGTTTCATTTCAGTCATTCAGCAAAACAGATTGAACACTGAAATGAGCGATCTGCAAAACAGTTTAAAGGTAGTGTGCCACCTTCCAATGATTTCCCATTTTATTTTTCCTAGGATAAGAAGCTTCTGTTTTTACCTAATATCGCAAACCTAATATCCAATGATTTCCCATTTTATTTTTCCTAGGATAAGAAGCTTCTGTTTTTACCTAATATCGCAAAAAAAATCAAAAATGGGCCTGGAATAGTGCCTTTTTTGCCTAAAAGTTTATCGGTTTTTCGATATGTATAACAACTGTAGTGGGCTGACCTGCAAACAGGCGTCGGCAACAATCGCGAATGCGGCGCACATGTGACAATAAGCAAAGGTCATTATAGAGTTACGACGTACGGGAATGAGTTATCAGCTGTCTAATCGTAGACAACACAATGTCGAACTTAAACTGTAAGCCTGTATTGGTATTGTTTCTTTAATTTGGCTGTCGAACATTAATTTATGGTTTGAAATATGATTTTATGTGAAATAATTGATATGAAACAGCCGTCTCTTAAGTTATGACCCCATTTCACCACACGCAAGTGGCAGAAAGGACAATGATCAGCTGACGCATTTTTCTTGGCCGAAGTCAGAGCGCGCGGCCCGACGCACCACGCGTATTTGAAAATTCCGACCTCGACGAGCATCAGAAGCCACCTAACAGGCGTGTTCGAAACCGCAGGAGATGATGATGAACGGGTTTATCGAAACTTGATTGGATGAGCCTATCGGTAATAGCGATTTTAGTGTGTGCATTTATTGTTCATAGTGGTGTGAAATGTGGTTTGGGTACGACCGACAACCCGTCGGGGCGAATTTCGCACTGGGGTACTCAAAATTTGAAGAATTTAAGACGTTTCCATGAGTTTTGAAGGTATGGATAAGTTCTAAAAATCCGGTTCTCCTTATCCGGGTCATTAACTCCATATGGTCCAAGAAAGCTGGCACACTACCTTTAATTGGCAATGCTGAGCCGACTGTGTAAAATGGATCCACCAGACACTTAGATACTTCATAGTTCTATGACATGATAGACGCTGTCACGTTGATCATAGATCTTTGTTCTAGAGTCCCAGGCAATCCGGTAGTGGCCCTAGGTAATTTCCATATTTGTTGATGGAGCGTAAATCCACTCGGACTTCGAGATTCGAACTCCTCAAAACGAATGCCTGAACGGTGATGTTTCCTTTAATCCGCCGGACTGCATATTAAAATGACTTTGGCAAATGCATTAGTTTTCTGGGCAAATGCACAATTTTCTGGGATTTTGCTCTGCTACAAGCATCTTGGGACCAATATACCTCATCTAACTCACATAAAAACGGGTGAGGGGCATTCCATGTCAACCGGGACAGCCAAAATCGGCCACCTCTGCGATTTTGTTCAAACTTGGTATACTTATTGGCTATTGGATGAAACCTCTGAGGGTGAAAGGATTTTGTCATATGCCCTCGGGCTACAGAGATACAAGCCGCTAAACTTCTGTTTTTTTTTTTTTAGCAGAATAGGACGTGTATTTCAATCTTGAACGATCTATAGCTTCAACATTTTTGAAGCTATTAATTTCAAACAAACTAAAACGTGTACATAAGGAGTTATGCTAGTAAAATTCGGCAAATTTTACATTTTTCGGTGATTTTGAATTTATTTTATTTTGAATTAATTTCTTAAAATCTAATTTGTGAAAAATGGGTACCCTTCGATTTTGCTCAAATTTAGATATTGTCTTCCACTACACGTAAGGCACACGTGCTGAGAAAATTAGAGTGGGCCAACGATAACTTTAGATGATATAGCAACAAGTATTGCAACGTAGCACGGGCGGTGGAAGGGGCGGATTTCGCCAACCCCACCTGTTTTTCGCCAATAACTCACGCCATAATTATTGTATTATCGTCAAACGTTCAGTATCTGTCCAGAATTGAATTGCGAATCCTCTCGTGCAAGCAATAGGTAAATCGGTCTCCAACGTTTCTAGTAATACCGGTGTAAAGTTAAACATCTTGCCGGAGCGGCGCGCCGGCCGGCGCCGGCCGTTGCCGCCTGAATGGTAGACTGTGCCGGCGCGGGACGGTTCTATCTTTGCACTGCGCTTCTTACCGCTGATTATGATCGATTCGTGTCAAATTTTGTGTGAAGGCTTAAAAATGTACAGCCAATTTAATGGTCAAATAAATACGAAAATCAACAGGTAAAAATTGAATTATAAGGGTGCAAACACAATCTGTGACTGAAACGTTTCCCGCGTCGGCCGATCCCCGCCTCTGCCGGCGACATCCTTAGCAGGCCACTAACTGCCAAATTTATGGTTAGATTTACTAGAGATTCTTATAACACTACAAATGTCGTATAAAGGAAGAGATAGGAAAATCGGCCAGCTACTTTTAGAGCTATGGGCGTATACACGCAAAATAGTCACTTTAGCAAATTTGATCACGTTTAGCCTCATTTGATCTTGAAGACATTGATCTAGGGCCATGAAATTGGCACACGATAAAGTTGCCCACCGCCCCACATACACTTCAAATTCCGTTTTTTTATACCTTTTTGGCTAAACTGGGCCTTTCTCCCCTAGCGCTGGGAGAGTCAGGCGTATTTTCTTTTTGCAACCAAAGAGAGGCGCTGCCCGGAGAATGCCCAATTGCATCATTAAAAAAAAAAATGGCTTACATCTCCGCGATGACCAGCTATCTTCGTGGCTTAGTAGTTAGTGTGCCGATCGTGTACCCACTTCGTAATCTAAAGGTGGCTGGCTCGCGGCTGGTCAGCCTCAAGTGTTTTAACACGCATTTGTTTTTTAAGACTTAAGTAGCATCTGGCCAGCCGGCAAATGTCGTGAGGGCTAATGTTCGTATCTAAGTAGCACATGGCCAGTGGGGAACTGCCGTGAGGGCTGTACATATTTACGCGTGTTAGATTAGGTCAGGTCACGTCAGGTCAGGTTAGGTTTGCTTTGGTTTGGGGCAGAAAGAAGCATCTCCGGGTAGCGCCTCTTCTTGGTTGCTAAAACGAAACACGCGAGTGCCAGACATTACGAAGTCCAAAAGACAGTTACGTAGACGTCGGCCCATTCTGAATTTTTTATATGATGTAGCTAGTGTATAGGAGAATAAAATATGTAAAAATCAGCAAAATCGAAGGGTACCCATTTTTCAGAAAATAAAAATTTATTTTTTGAATTTTAATTAAATTCACTAATCAGCTAATTACGTCAATATTGTTATTCTCAAATTAAAGCCTAATCTATTCCCTCCATTTCACACTTTGTCCCGTGGTGATATGTCTAAAACTTCAATGGTTATGACGCTTTAAAGATGATAATGTGCCTTACCTAAGTCAATTTTTGATGACGTGTATCTCGGAAACGTGACGTCATATCTTGACAAAAAATGTCTTCTTTCTTTTCACATATAGTTGAGTAGTTTCACAAAGTTTCGCAAAAATCGGAGGAGGTGAGGTTCAAAATGGTCATTTTTTGTCCCACTTGACGTGGAATGCCCCGTGACGAAAATATCACAGCCGGTCTGGCACTTCAGTACGCATGCAAGTACGCGGTACATGACATGCCTACCCAGCCCCACTGGAAGTTTCGTTGGGAAAGTCACATTATAACATAACTGGTCTTACGTTGCATGCGGAAGCTAGCTGTTTCTGCAGCTAATGCCGCAGAAGCATCTGCCCTGATTCGCTAGCTCAGTTAAATCAGTAGTTTTGTCGATTGATAAAAAACTCTGGTGACCTCAAATAAACTTAGTGACATTATAGGTATAAGGCGTCACCCAAGGGCCGAAATGCAAGGGTGTGCATTTTGCAATATGCAGTCGTGATTCCAGGTGCTAATTAAATTATATAGTATTACCTATACAATTTACGGCGTTACATAAATGTTAAGTACTCCCCATGGATTTATAACCGGGAGGTCATGTGACCGAGCTGACCTAAGGTGACCCCTGTGCAAAATTTTGTATATAAATTTATATTAGGGGCCAAGAGTAGATGCTTATTGCTGCTGGAAGTTTAATTTTTCTACGGGGAAATTATATGGCACTGAACGTTCCATGTTTGCGTTATTTTTATTTTTTAGAGGCTCGTTTTAGAGTCTGAGTTATTTTTATTTATTTTTTTAACTATTTAGAGGCTCACTATGACGTCATAGGTCAGTGACCTGACAGCCTGAAAATTCAGGCGGTGCTAAAAGGTCAGTCTTGTAGCAAAAGTGACTTATGCCAAATTTTAACTATCTGCTATGTGCTTCTAAACATGAAAATATGGCAGAGGGGTATGAGAGGTTTGTATTGTGCATGCAAGTTTATGAATGCTAGACTTCTTGTCCCCGGTTCCATTGTGCATATGTGCCGCGTTTCATACTGCATGTAGTAGGCGTAGCCATTTTCAGAGAGCCATGCCAGTTGCCACACCAAATTACAACGTGGCGGTGCGGTGCTGGACGGAGATCACGGAGCGCTCACCAAAAGCGGCACCTCAACTGCTTGCGAACGCCAGCGTCACCGACAAGCAAACCCGATTTGAGTTCGATCGGCACGCAGTTTCTAAACTTCAACCGCGTTTCACACGTGCAGAACTCATTGCCTTTGATCTGTTGGAGTGTACGCACGTACGCATTGTCTGATGACAGGTTAATTAGAGATTACGTAAATCTGAGCACAGCTGGTCCAGTTATTGCGAAGCTATTTTAAGTGGAGCTATTTCGTCACCTCAGATCGGACACGTGCCAAGCTCTCTGCCCAATAGCATAGGACCGTCGTCTCGTATAAACGCGTCGTCGAGTGTAGTCACTTGAAGTTGCGATATTTTCCTATGCATGCTAGAAAAGGCCGCACCAACCCACAAACCCTTGTGTCAAACATGTATTGGCACCTGAGGATGTGACAATCGCTCTAAAGCACCTCAGACAGAGTCGGGTCAGTTCTGCGCTGTTGCGGTGTGGAGTGTTATTGTATGCATACGTGAGATACTATCGCTATTGAATTACTCCTGCTAATTGGATATATAAGTACAAGAAGACCCATACATCTCTGATCTCACATCCCCATGTTTATGTATTTTTTATTTATATCATCGGCTGGGCATGTCCAATACTAGTTAGTTCACAGCATTCGCTCTTCGCCAACATCGTGGTTCTCTAACTATTTCGATGAGTGTGAGAGGAATCTTTTTGGTATTCTCCGCCCGGATCTCTCTTGTTTGCGTCAGATGTTTCTCTGAGTATCTTCACATTGTTGTCTCCCCCTCTCCGTCATCGGTGACAGCTCGCACAAACTCTGAAACACATGTATTACAATGTTATCAGTGTTCAGCGCAAGTAACGGGTGGTCAGTATGGAACTGGACAAAATTTGATTAAGCATAGCATCTCCAATTATGGACATATTTTAATTATTTTTGGCAGGTGAATACTTCCATTTATTTTATATTAGCAGCTCAGATTTCAACTTTCTGCCATTAACTAGTAGGAAACATTGCGCCGGTAAGTCAGCAAGCGTTCCGGGACCTGTTCGCGCTAGTTTTTTTAAAATAATACAAATTACAAAAATGCTAGCATTATGCGTCACATTACGCCATAGAATGTCACCAGATCTTAAGAATATGTGATCATCGATAAGTTCTGAGGGCTTGCAGATGTTTTACATGGTGGGAACGGCAAGGTCACCAAGAAAATGTCCATTCAGCTCCGGAAGAAACAAACCGGCGCCGTCACCGAACAGTTGGGGCTCTCCTAATGATCCTGGGAAGCAATTTTGGGATCTTCAAAACATATGACTAATTAATATGTCAACAAGCAGGAATCAAGTACAGAAATAGGATAAAGGCGACGGAGGCACAATTTCGTACACAGAAAACCCGCCTGCGCCGTCTGTCACAGGGTCCAATGCAGGGTAGCAAAAACATGGAGGTGCATATGGATGATGAATCTTATTTCACCTGCAGTGGCAGCCAAATGCCTTCCATTGCCGAATTTTACACCTCAGCTGGTGGAGACACTATTCCACATGTGGATCTCACCTTCGCTTTCGACCTGAGAGCAAGTACCCACCCGAGATGACCGTCTGGCTTGCCATGAGTCCGAGGGGATCACGCGTCCAGTTACTTGCCGAGCGCAGGCAATGTAACGGGTGAAGTGTACTATGAAAAGTGTTTGAATGGCGTGTTGTTACCACTTATTGAGTCTCAGAACACAGAACATGATGCTCTGTTAGGCTCCGACCTTGCAACAGCCACAGTACGCGCGCTAGACCACGAAACTTCTTGAGGAGGCTGGGGTGCCCGTAGTAGCACGTGACATGAGCCCGCCATGTACCCCTCAGATTTGACCCATTGAGGATATGTGGGGGCTCATCAAACAGAACGTGTATAAGGGAAGGTGGCACGTCAGCTGAGACGAACAATTTAAGTGGAAAATCCAGCAGGCCATCCGTCAAATCTACTCGGAGGTGCCGCGAAAGACAATATTGGGGCTGCCAGCGCGCGTGCGCTTGGCGGCTGACAGAGGTCCCGTGTCGCAGATTCACTAGGCCGAGCGTGATTACAATAAAATGAAGGCACGGTAACGCGATTTTCGTTGCTTTCGCTTGAATACTTTTGACACAGTAGCAATTCAAACTTTGTCCAGTTTCATACTGACCACCCGTTAGGTGTGTCACATATTGCGGTCTGGCTTGTCTGGACTCTTTTTGATCAGGCGTGTTACTTATACAGCTGTTACATTTCATAGTCCCGTGAATTCATGAATTGACCAAGCCCTGTGATGTTCCTGGCAAAAGGGTTGATTTGAAATTCAGTGTAGCATTCATGATTATGGAAATGCACGCCACTGTTGTCGCTACGGCCTGCGGCCGTTTGGTTTCAAAGGCGTCATTTCCATACTTATGTCCTTCTTCTCAATGACACATGTTTTACCTACTCGGTACGTTCGTTGACTCCTAGAGCGACATAATAAAAACACGAGTGACAAATGATAGCAAAAGTAAATCTACTTGTTTTTGCATGCCTAGACAAACTACCTTTACGGTAGATGTGCAGCACTAAAGGATGCAGATTCTGGAAGAGAAAATGGGTGATGGCATATAAAATCACTGACAGAAAGACAGGTGCAACTAGGGCGAATGACTTTTATAAGCTACGTTTCCATGACACGTCTTCATCGATTTAACGAAATTTCACGTCAAAAGCAGTCGGCTTTTCCTCGGATACTATTAAACTTATGCAAAAATTAGCGTGCATATGGTTTTAGCTAGCACTTAATCCTATATTTACAATTTAAAATGATGTCTAAATGGTATGATGGAGCAAATCCATTTTGCCAAATCGGCTTAATTTGTGCCATGGAAACGTAGTGATTATCATGCATGTAAATCTGGTTTTTGGTAACTGGTAAGCGAACTCGATGTCCGATAGAAATGCCCGGAAAACATGCCATAGTCTATCGAAGTATGAATTATGACATCTAATCCTGCATGGAAACCTGTCGCTCTAAAATTAGCTCTGGAATCTGTTCCTCAGCAATTCAAATCGTGGCGCGATCATTTCGCATACGCCAGGCAGCGCAGTGAACTAGGATCTTTGTGAGGTGGCTGGGATCGCGCCGAATGAAGTCACGGTACCAGCACCTGCGTTCGGTGACCTCATTTGCACTTCCCAATGACATATGTTTCATTCAGTACGTTTGTTGACTCCTAGAGCCACGTGCAATTGACACGACTTCTAACCAATCATAGTCTCAACCTGCTGGTGCTAGGGGAGATCCTTACTTACCGATAAAATCAATCCGGCCGTCTCCGTCCATGTCCACTTCTTCGATAATGTCCTCGACTGAAACAAGCGTAGTGCGGGATGCTCTGACGATTCGCAATAGCAGTAGGGGAGAGTCTGGCAAAGCGGCCACCCTAACGCTTCTCACGATGCCAACGCTTGATTTTTAAACTTGGAAAGATCCTTTCTATACCAATGTGATCCCTATTAAGTTGCCTTTTATTTCAACTGAGTTTTATTTCCAAAGGCGTTCACATATGAAAGATATTGACAAAACTTTAAACCTATGCATATTGGCCACTTTGCCCCATACCCTGGGGCAAAGCGGCCACCGGCGTCTTCTCAAGTCCCGATATGAGAAACAAAATAGTTGCCTCGTGTACGACTAGGGTATTTGATGGTGACAAGGTTAAGCGAGGATGGATGTTTACTTAATCATCTTCCACCTGTAGGTAAACAAAGAAAGGATTTTCATGAAAATAAACATTTAATTGCATTATTTGGTAACTCATGCAACTGAAAAGTGGCCAAGATGAATGCATGACGACACATTTGAATATAAATAATGTTTTTTATCCAGATGGAAGCAACTTATGGCCAATTGGGGGTGGCCACTTTGCCCCGGCCACTTTGCCCCGCGCATACCGTCCGAGACAAAAATATTCCAGCTTAGCTATTAGTGGGGTAAAAAACATTAAAATTGGTAGAATACATGTACGATAACCATGCAATGCATGGACAAGAACGCTTATAAAAATTCCAAACGGTTATGGAATAACATAACATTTAAAAATTGTAAACATAGTTGGTAACCTGGCAAGAAATGCTCTTCCGTGTTTCACAGAACAATGGTGATGGGCCTGAAACCCCGGTCTGGCTCATTCGAACGACCGTGAAGAGAAGTATAATTGGAAACCATAAATTGGAACTGACGCCAGCTATGAAGGGCTAAAACGATGGATGGCCGCTTTGCCCCGGGTGGCCGCTTTGCCCCACTCTCCCCTACCTAATGATGTTTTTGAGCCTTCTAACGCCATCTTCTAACGCGCCATCTCCTAACCGAGGAGATGGCGCGGCATCACGTGAAATACGTGCAAGTTCCTCTTTGTGTTGGTTGAATTGGTATGTAATTACGCGAGTGATTTTGCTGTTAAAAAGGACGGCGACATTTGTTAAGGTAGTTCGGTCACATCGTTCGCAGCATCTTGCATGATCTTACCAAAACTGAGCATGGTCAAAGATAGAGGTTCAGGTATATCTGCAGATCTATCTGACAACGGGTGGTCGTCGGATGGAGGTCAGGTCAGATCCAGAGGTCATGGGTCGCTTACTTTCTTCATCGGTGAGCCGCTCGCCAAGACAGTGCAGCACCGCCCTCAGGTCAGAGACCCCAATAAAGCCGCGACCGTTCTTATCGAACACCTGAGACACAGACGAGTTTCATCAGGGAACGTCTCACACTACAAAAACACGAATGCTGGGAAAACGTTGGCATTTGGGATTTACCTGATTTTATAAACATTGGGATCGTGTAATGCTTCGGTTAAAAGCTCAGATCGTGAGATCTTTTGAAGCTAGCGTTGATGATGAGCCAATCCAAAATAATCCGTTAGACCTTAACACTGTACAGTCATTTCTCTTACCTTGAACGCCTCTCTCATCGCGTTATCGGCTTCCTCCCGCGTCCGCTCTCCGTCTCGGCTCGTTTTCGAGATGACCGTGACGAACTCGTCAAAGGTCAGATTTCCATCGCCTGAGGAGGGTTAAAATTGAGGCATCAGTAGCGCATGGTATCCCTTGATATCCACGCATGATATCCCTTTTCACTGACACTAGGCTGAATATTGTTTTGTTGCGTGTCATACATTCCAGTTCTTTCAGCCTCTTTTCCCAACCTTACGTTGCATACTCAAGCACTTTACCTACTCCCTTTACTTTACCATCCACTTACCACTTTACCATCATGCTTCCGTTTAGTCACATAGCTCCTCTGAATCATAGAGGCGATATGAAATCCCCCGCTGGCAGCCTTGCTAAGGTGATGCATTCAGCAGGGGATGTCCAGCGGCGGTGGCTGATAGTTTGAGCACACACCGGAGTCGTGGCGGGGTCTACTACCTTGCCCTGTTCGGTTACGTTAACGGCACACATGACAACATTTCCGGTTCCCATCCCTATCTACGTCACCGTCACCGTATTCGTGATCGTACTGTGCTATGAGAGTCATGTTGGTTGTATCACGATGGTAAATGTCCTGGTCTCTTGGCATCACACCAAAGCCAAATTCAGTGCTATTTTGTGAATGGTGATATTAAAAAGAGAATATTATTCTTCCATATCGCTCTGTAAGAGACACGGGAGCACTCGAACAAAGACACGAGCGAGTGCGCAGTTATGATTCGTTGTGGCTTATGGAGCTCAAAAATCGGTTCTGAAACTTCAGTCATCCTGCTGTTGCCAGCTGATGAGGAGCCAAGCTGTTGCATTAGCACGGCTCGTGTTTATAGCTTGTCCGACCTTGCTGGCATGTTTTGGTCAAATCTCCGCATGTTGATTTGTACTAGGTATGGTGACTCTGCTCTTCACAGATGCTTAGATCAGATCTTTCTGATTGGTCAACCCATAAAAATCATGTGAATTGCCGTTCTGCTACATAGCTTGCGACTCTTTGTATCCCTATGATAATTGATAACTTTTGTTGCGTCCCATTTTATTGCATCCGTGTCCTATATGGAGGCTTTGCTCGCTGTAAATCCTGGTAATTCCGATAACCCGATAATTTCGTAAATCGAACTCCTGTCCCCTTTGTCTGAATTTTTGTCACGCCATATCGACATTTCCATTCGAGAGCTCGTCATTGGTCAGTCCAATCTTGGATATATTTGTGACAAGGTTAATGCGCCTTTATAAAAAAGCGCCCCAACCTTTTTGGAGCTGCAGCATGGCGACATTCTTACATACCATGCTGTATTGTATAGTTAGAATGAGTGATTCTCGCCGTCCATCACTGCTGCTATCCTGGTCCCCTTACGCCTGCTGAGATTCATATGCTGCCCTCCATATGTTGGCCAGCACCTCCTATCCCACCCCGTCACAGGGTGACTTAACCCGGGCAGCAACGTGAAACGTCCCAGCTCTGCTCACCAGCCCCAGTCCCTCTTACTTATCAGTCGACTCTGTCCCTCCATTCCCGCCATAGATAACTGCTCCAGATCCTTGCCCAATGCCCCAAAGAAAGACAGTGCATTTCCCATCCCATCCCATCCCATCTCATCCCATCCATCCCATCCCATCCCATCCATCCCATCCCATCCATCCCATCCCATCCCATCCCATCCCGTCGTCCTAGGTCATCCCAGACCCTGCCCCGGGCAGATCAGCGTCCCACTCCTCCCCGCCCCGCCCCTCCCGTCGCTCCCGACTGACCGTCGAGATCGACGGCGGCCATGATGTCGACGATCTCGGCGTCGGTGACGTTGTGGCCCAGCTGGCGCATTACCTCGGTCAGCTCGTGGCCGCTGATGCTGCCGTTGTGATCCCGGTCGATCAGGTCAAACTGGTACCGCAGCGCTGTCAACCAGCCGTGGCGGCGGGACAGGTCACAGGGTCAAGGGTGTCAGCAAATCAGGGCGTGTGTGGCTTAGCATGTTTGTCTAGACCTTTTTTTCCTTAGACCGGCTTTGTTCACAAAAAAAAAAACTTTTTAAAGATTTGAGTGACAGAAATAGCATCTTTAACAGTGGCATGAATGAAAATATTGTGCGTAACTATCAAAACATCGAAGCTGTATTAATCTATGCTGACCAACTTTTACTACATAAAACCCTCACCAAGCTGACGGCTGAATATAAGATGTTCGAGCTCACCGCTCCGACTCACCCTGACGTGAAGGCATGGCGCGGGTGCCCGTGTTTAGATGGCTGCTCATGTTGCTTCTGTGGTTGCCGACCAACGACTGACTGTTTCTGACACAGAGGCGACCTGCACTCTTCTGGGACCCGTCCGCCCCCACACAGGTGCTCAGACCGGGACGTCTATGTCTGGGTCGCTAGACATTCTAACGACGAACAGCACGCCTCACGTCTGCCGTTCCCGACAGTTGGGGACGTGACGGATCGCTATGACTTTTCGGCGGCAGCGGTGGCCGCCGGCTGTGCTCGTTCCCTCCGTAATGGTCGTCTCCAGGTGCCGTCAAAGTGCCGCTGCCGCGCCACAAACGGCGCGGCCCCTACACGATGGCGCCGCAGGCGGCCTCTGTGTCGCAGCCCGCAGGTGGCGTCAAACGGTGAGCCGTCCCTCGCATTGATTGATGCGGCTGTTCTCTGAAATCTGTGTATTTTCAAGGTCAATGCCACTTCCTTCCTAAAATTTGTGGTATGTGCTTGGTAAGCTTCTGCTATTTCTTGTATGGGCCAAACAGGAGCCGGCTTTTCAGAAGCAATTAGCAGCATGAAACAGCATAATGGCGCCTTATCACAATATAGCCGCGCGGCGATAGCCAGTTGATAGACGGCTGGCGACTTGTTGGTGTTCGGAATAAGAAATATCTGCTATAGTTTAGTTTATCCAGTTTATAGTTTATATTAGTTTATATCCAGTTTATCCAGTTTATATCCAGTTTATAGTTTAGTTTATTAGTTTATCCAGTGCATGTCTGTATGTTTGTTCAGAAAATTTAGACAGATTCTGTTGGGTACAAGATCGACATTAGACAACTTAACCCTCGCCGGCCGAGGGGGGGGGGGGGCGGGTGCCGCCCCCCCCCCATAGGGTTTTTTTCGCGATAGCTCCGAACACGCTGGCGATAGAGAGCTGAAACTTGGCATACCTGACCTTTGATCCAAGCCGCATCTTTTGACACCAACCGCATTTTCGGGTCAGGTCAGGTCACTGACCTATGACGTCATAAGTGAACCTCTGCACGGTCTTCAGATGTCGCAACTTCGCAACGCCCTCACTGCCAGAGGAGATGTCACAGGGAAATGAAACTTGCAGGATCTAGTATCCATTATGAGTCTCACAACTTGTATATCTCGGATTTTTCCTAAAGGTCATATGAGGTCAGGTCATTTTCGTGACCTCACCATTATAAGTCAATGGGGAAAAATGAAAACTGCTATTCTGGCGCCGGGAACGATCTCCAACTATCTCAAGCACATAGAATCGTGATTTGAGGCACTCCTTGCAAGGTTAGATGCGTCACTTTTGCAATGTTGACCTTGCGTGACGTCATTTATGACGTCATCAAGGTCATATTAGTTTTTCGTCAATAACTCTTGATCAAATTGAGCTAGCGAGTCGAGAAAGCCACCAATGGACTCAGGAAGACCTGCCGAATCGAATGATATGCGACATGACCTCTTTCGACCAACTTCGTGACCTGGGGGTGCTGACCTGACCTTGACCTGAGGTCAACACCCCAAGTTGACCTGACCCGGACAAAAAGTATATCATTCGACGCGCCTGAGCGAGGCGAACACGATGCTCTCAAAATCGCGGCTCTGCGGCCGTTTTTTGCGAAGTTATTCACCAAAAACTGAACCGTACCCTGGGGCACTTGACCTGACCTCAGAGGTCACCGGTTGACCTAGGACCTTAAAATCGGGTACCAATCTCTGCGTCTCGTAACGGCGCACACGCTCGTTTTTTCCGCGACGCGCTAGCTCCACCAGGGGCGAAACGGCGAGGGGGGGTCGTACCCGCCCCCCCCCCCCTCGGCCGGCGCGTATGTAGAAAACCAATAGGTCCGGCGAGGGTTAAAACAGTTTTTACTGGTATGGTTGTCGTTTTATATATGTACGCCTGATGGGCCATGGGCCTAAGCCCCTTACTCTACCAATAATGTCGGTAAACATTAACCCAATTGTGTTCCGTGGTAAGAATAACTCTGCTATCCTAAAACCGGCCATTGGAGCCCAATCGGTGCGTTTTTAATCTCGGGAAACGACCCGGTGGTGACCAGTGAGGTCATAGGAGGTAATGAAATGTCTGATTCAAAACCTTTGATAAAGTTAAGTTTTTTAGAGTAGGGGGACTGGAGACACCACTAAAAGCTGGGAATGAGCTGCGGAATCGAGCGATATGCGGCGTTGACCGCAACCTCTCCAAAGTAACGTCTTTATCTGACCGGATTCGATGTGTCCTTGACCTTCCATGACCTGAGACCATCGCCTAAATTTACATTTTCCCTGAAAGAAGTATATTGCTCTATGTATGTACTATGTACGTACAAGACTGGACAGGACAAATGCGATGGTATGCAAATCGTTCTCCGCGATTATTTTTGTCAAAGGTCGCGATTATCACCTTCAAAGAAGTGATAATCGCGATAGAGTTTACTAACATGACATACCTTGAAGGCAATGTGAAGAATAAAACAAACATTTCAAATGGCATGGTACTTTTTATTAAAAATCGTCTACACTTATCTTGAAATCGCTTATGATCACGTAGCGTTTCAGTCGTATTGCACGCATATTAGTAGGTCAAAATGGGGCAACGGCTCATTAACTTCCCGCCATCTAAATACCTTTACAAAAAAAACGGCACTTGCCCTTCGCGCATACAAATTGCCAATCCAAAAACAGGGTCATTTCTCGACCAATGTGGCCTTGCCTCGACGGTCAACACCAAGGCCTCTTGTATCACTCAGGGCCCGTAGGTCTGGTCACTTAGCACTCAGGGGTAGCTCACCAGAGCCCAATTCCCGACACAACGGACAGCCTGCGGTGGTATCTCTACCAGGGTGGTTCGGCTGCGGCGGTATCTCTACCAGGGTGGTTCGGCTGAGGGAACCATCCACACGGATCAGACTCGTCACAAAACACGAGTAACGGGTAAGGCAGTCCAACTCAAAACGACACCCGCTGACATAGTCTGAACCAGGTGCGCGTTCTCAAGCTTACGCAGCAACAACGGTGACAAGTCTATAAAGAGTAACACCATGCTAACTTACAGCATAGCCATAGCCTACGCTCCCGCTGCAACAGTGTTCAAATCACCGTCTAGCAACGCTTGTGGCGTTTATGTACCTGTGCGTTGTCCCCATTGTCAGAAATACAAATTCCAAGACACGGGTCAGATCATTACTGCGCTTGAATCTCGCACAAACCGGGCGTAACCATTTGCACGTCGGCCATTACATTTCGATCGACGATCACGCCAACACTTTGCATCGAACAGGAGCAGAAGCCATCCAAGCACGTGTCATCCTTTTAGTTTCCGAGCTTTAGCTTGGCTCGCGGCGCTATTTTAGTATGCTCCCCATTCCATCATAGGCCGTAGCCGCGGCCCGCGGATATAGTTGCGCTTCTCTCTTAGCATCTTTCACAATCCTTCGTCGGTAGTGAGCACACCGATCCATTAGATTTAACTGCACCTTTCAACACTAGCCACACCACTTCGCTGTTTTCAGCCCCTCTCCATCAGATCTTTTCCTTCTTTATCCAGCCTATCCACGTCTTAGCTCTCTCTCTCTTCTTCACCTTTCTCAGTTCTATCCACCGCTCACTTCTAACTCCTATCCTCCGCCCTCCTCTCAGTTCTCCTTTCCGTGTACAGGCGCGACCTCGACGACGGGCGGCGGCGCCGGCGTCACCGGCACGCTGACGCCGAACCGGGTGCCCAGCTTGATGCTGGCGTGCTTGAAGTGCAGCGTCATCTTCTCCTGGATGACGTTGATGCACATGCTGGTGAGCGCCAGGCCGAAAATCATGTAGAGAGTGGTACACATCATCACTCCAGCCGACTGTGGGCAGAGGAGAGAGGCGTGAGGTCAGAGAGAGAGGGAGGGGAAGAGATAGAGAGAGAGAGAGAGAGAGAGAGAGAGAGAGGAGAGAGAGAGAGAGGGAGATGGAGAGAAAGTTGTCTGATTTAGGGAGTGCGGAAATATATCATGGAATCCCTGCCTATACCTACTGGACAAGCTTATATCGAAGTTGAGGCCCGACATTAGCCTACTTAGGGTGACAACCCTCCTGCAAAACCAGTCGGTGAATATAAACCATACATTATAGCCGAGGCTTCTATGTCGCTCTCCCACGGAAAATCCAGTCGTTTACGATAATGTATGAGGTATAAACTCTCCTCAGCCGCCCGGAAAGGTGCCTCTCGCGTCCGCCATGTTGTTTGTGGGTAAACTGCGGCCTGTCACAGCCGCGTGACGTCACCTCCGCCACCGTGACGTCACGTCACGCCACCTCGTGACCCCACGAATCACCGTCTGGGGTCCGTGACGGCCGGTAGCGGACGCTGTTTATGTACTAGAGGTGAGCTCATTCCTACCGCACGTGCGACACAAACGCTCCGTAGTTCAACATGGGGTATGATTTTTAGCGAGGGAACTCCTAGCGCGATATGGTGGCTTTTTCTGGTCTGTGTTCATGTGACTTTGTAACCGCAACGTGACTCTGGTTTTCTGGGAAGCCGGTTGCATTTGAAGTGCGCAGGTCAACACAACAGGTGCAGGGAGTGCTGCTTGGAGCATAGTGGATAGTGGCCCGGTGTGCCAACATTGTTTAGTCACTGTTTAGGATCCGTTCTACCAGGTGATCCGTCCGCGTCAGTAGCGAAATTGATGACATCATAAATATTTATGTTTTAAAACGCAAGGATAGGTAGGTACTATAAATAGAATATCTGTGTAATGAAATTCGTTGAGGAAATGATTAAATGGTAATATTCAAATGCGCAACACCTTTTCCCTCATCAGAACAAGCCTGGTCGAAAACTAAGCAGATGTATCGCAAAAACATCTAAAGCAAAGCGCTTGCTATGGCACAGACGACAAAAAGCACGGGCGATATGCACATAACTCCCATCTCCAAGCGTTTTAATTCATTATGTGCTCGATATCCAACGGGTCTCTCGTGTGCAGTCTTTCCTAAATGTGTTCCACTGGTGGTGCGCTTTTGGTGCGTGCTCGATTGGTGCAGTGCTGAGTGACTAGTGCGTTCATGTTACCTGCACGTTCCTCAAGTCCTGATTGTCCTGTCGCGGTAACCAGCGACTTTGGTCGGTCACCTAGGCGGAACAGATTAGTAAGATTAGATGACAATGAGGAATGATGATTGATGGATAAAGGAGCGATGCACGAATCGGTCCTTTTGTTAGGTATTTTGGAGGGTGGTTAGTGGTTAGTGATATTTTGTTCAAGTGTACCTTTGCTGTGTAGTCTCGCACGCAATGACCTTTCCGCAACTTACCCATCTGTGTCGGCAACCCTTTTCAGCAATCTGTCGCAACCATTAAGCATGTCTCTTGACCTGCCACTGCCATCTCAGTCCTTTCTCCCCCCCCCTCTCTCTCTCTCTCTCTCTCTCTCTCGCTCTCTCTCTTTTTTTCTTTTTTTCTTTCTCTCTCTCTCTCTCTCTCTCTCTCTCTCTCTCTCTCTCTCTCTCTCTCTCTCTCTCTCTCTCTCTCTCTCTTCAACCCACTACCGCCCAGCGTTCTTTCACCTGACCCCTCTCACCCGGGCCAGCCCCACCCGGATCCCCTCCCGGCCCGATCGGGACTTCACCAGCTCTCCCCCAGTAGCGCTCACAACTCGGTCACGGGAGGGTCGGGCCGATTGGCCCCACGGCACGATTAGGTGCAGTGTCGACAAAGCATGAGCAGTGAGCACCTCTGACGTGTCGCGTTTGTCGCGGTCACGGCGCGATAGGTCTAATGACAGGTGCCGTTTGCTGGCTATAGTTAGACGACGTGACGTGGTCTATGGGGTGATTTTCTGGCCGATGATGTCATGAACTGCGTCGCGTTTTGTTCCCTTGCTGTTCCGTGAGTAGGCGTGAAACGTGCGTATTAGTGGGTGTCGGTCTTTACGTGGTAAGATGGGTGATGTTTCGCCGTTTTTAGCTCCGAATTCAGGCGCTCTTGCCCAAACCATGATACCATAAGCTTTTCGACACGGATTTAAGGTGTTCTTAATCGGCACGCAACCTGATATATTTCGTCCCTCTCCACACCCACATCCCCTATCGGCTCACCGAGGGCACCAGGTCGCCGAAGCCGATGGTGGTCATCGAGATGAAGACGAAGTAGAAGGCGTTGAAGTAGCTCCAGTCCTCTGTGATGACGAACATGATGGCGCCGATGAAGAGGTAGGAGAGCAGGATGAACAGCGCCAGCGACACGGGCAGGTTGAACTCGTCGTCCACCTCGACCACGGCCTGGGGTTCGTCGCCGTCGACCGCGGCGTGCCCCTCGCCCTCGGCGGCCGGGGAGTCCTCCCCGCCGAGCCCGGTCCGGTCGTACACCGCCTGGATGCCTTTCACCACGTTCTGCCGGGGGGGGGGGGGGGGCGAACACAGGTCACCAGTCGGGGTCACACATGTCGGCAGTGCGAGGTCATCCATGAGCTCGGTAATCCCGGTAAAAGTAATACGTTGGCGCAACATCCTGCATGGGAAATGTTATGAATAGATAATGTCACCACAAATGAGCACGTCATGTTTATTTATATCGGAATCCACGTGCATGCGTTTACATTATATTTGATGCATGTTGATGAAACTCTTCCAACACTAGGTAAATATTCTGATCGGTGCGAGTAGGTACATGCCTATCCACGTTTTAATCCTCCATCTACGATCCTGAACCGAAGCTACGATCCGAACCGAGCTTCGTCCCAAACAGGTTTGGCCAAGGTCTTTTCTATCAATCTTCTGTCCAGCAAATTTAATACAAAACGAGTAACGGTAATTTTTAATCCTCATTACAATCACGTCCCGGAACAGGAAGCACCCTCGCTGCGCCTCGCTGTCCGCCAGCCGGTGACTTACCTCCACGGGTTTGGCCCGGCGCACTCTCGTGCAACTCTTGGTGTGGTAGAGACGATACGCGGCCGCCATCACAAACTTGAGGCCGCGCGTGAAAAGCTTGCCGTAGTCGGCCAGCACGATCAGAAAGATGGGGATGCCCAGGATGGCGTACACGATGCTGACCGCCTTACCCGCCGTGGTCGCCGGAGATAGGTGACCGTAACCTGGCGGCGGAGAGGCAGAGGTCAGGTGAGCCGCTTTGGGGTCAAACGCCAAATAAGGTTGGGTCGTATGTTAAACCACAAACTAATACGATATCCTGATGCGATGACCAATTACAAGTGAAGGCGCATAGGCACACTTGTAGGCATAAGATAAGCCAGTGGCACACGTGTGTCTGTGAATTTCGGCAATACAGATGTGCTGCGAGCTGAAGCAAGCAAGATAATACCTCGAGCCGAATGTGAGACACATTCGAACGGCTATGTAGAAACAATAGCCTATTTTTCAATATGCTCCGGCATGTTTTAGATTTTCACACATCCCGGGTTGTCACTTTCCCGCTGTTGATACTTCCGACGTATTTTGTACGCCAACATGTAACCTTGCATCCATTTAGGCACATTCCGAGACCATCACCGGTCCGTGTCGCGGCCTGTGTGCCCTTGAGTCACTGTCAGTCCCGTGGGTCCCGTCGCTCCGTCCCGACTGCCGTCGTTGGCACCGTGTCGCTCGCGACGCGCCGACGCCGCTGGGTCTGTGCCCGCCCGGCCGGATGCCGGTCCGACCAAACGACGCCGGCGGTGCAGACATGGGTCCGGCGGGATGACCACCGACTGCGGGTGTGGTGCAGTGGGGGGGGGGGGGGGGCTCGGCGGGGGAACGGCGGAAGAGCTACGGTCTAGTTTGGCTCACCTCGAAAAAGAGAAGGGATTAGAACAGCTCGGAAAAGCAGGAGCTACGGAGACGGTTCGGTACAAAACTGAAGGATTGGTGCTACATCATGCATGGCTTGGCATTCGAATAGTCTCGGGACGTCGTTAAGACATCAAAGTCAGACCGGCCAGCATTAGATTCCGAAGTAGTTACATAGGATTTATAAATTGTTGATTGAGCGTTGTGATCAAGAATCTTTGGGAATGTTTATGTTCGCAGCCTTGTGCCAATGTTTCAGCGTAGTATCAAGAAGTAGGCAAAGCTGATGAAATGCAGCTTGAAATGTTGATTTGATTAGTCCATTAAAGCTCGCTCCAGTCTGCCCTGACCCTCCAGCGAGACTTCTGTCCTTCACCGAGGTCACTGACCTAGTGTGGTCACCACGGTCCAGGCGTACACGGCCCCGTTGGCGATGGTCCACATGCGCTGGCCGCTGGGCGATGTCACGCCGCTCGTGTACGCCTCCAGCAGCTGCTCCTCGTAGCCCTGCAGGTGCTTCCTGGCCAGCGCGCGCCACGCCTTGCGGTCCAGCGTGTCCGACTTGCCCCACAGATCGTCCAGGAAGCGCAGCTGTTGGTGGCGCACCCCGCATTTGATCTGCTGCTCGAGGCCGCCCTCCAGGTAGGCGAAGAGCGCGCCGCCGGTCAGCACCAGCAGCGCCAGGCCGACCGACTCGACGGCGCAGATGAGCGCCTCGTGCGCCAGTTGCCGACGCACCGGCGCCAACTCGTGCCACACCTGGCGCACACGGAACGCCGGCGGCGGCGGCGGCGGCGGCGCGTCGGCCGCCGCGGGGTGGTGGTCGGACGACATCGCGACGGTACCGACGCGACACTCGCGGCGCCGCGACGCCTCCGGCGACTGGCGGATCTCAGAGGTCGTCGGTGGTCTCCCGACCGGCCGTCGGCGGCGGCGGCGCGCGCGCTATTTTCGGCGGGAACACTTGGCGGCGGCGGGAGACGGTCGTTGGCTGGCCGGTGGCCGCCCCCGGGCCGGGTGTGGCGCCAGCGTGACCTGTCGCGGTGCGGCGGGCCACGGCTGTGACCCTGGCCGCTGTTGTCGCCAGCTGTGTGAGAAGTGGACGGCGCGGAATGCTGCAGCAATGTCGACGACGGAACAGTGCCCGCTGCTGTTTAGGACACGGTCTCGGAGGGAGAGAGGATTATCCGTCGACTTGAGACTTAGAAAGCTCGCATTCAATCGAGAGACGAGTGAATGCGATTCAATTCAATCGCATGCGATTCTATCCGCGCAGGAAATCCATGTGTGAAAGAAATGCGTTTCGCAAAGGTCAGTAACTCGACAGCTATGACGAATTGACGACTTATACACTTTTCCATTCTGTACTGCGCTTTTTCACAGAAGATTGCACGATGTATGTACTTACATTACTTAGTTTATACTTATATTACTTAGTCGTGATATTAGAGAAAGCAACGAAGGTGTGTTTGTGGTTCGTGGTTTCGCTACCCTCTTTAAATTCGATTCGCTTGCTCAGCTTGGTTACGACTCTGGATCGTCAAACACCTTTTCAGAATTGTGCTTGGAATCCTGCTCACCCGCCGCAGCCCCCGCCACTCTGCTGCGGCGTCTGAGACTGAAACTGCGCCGTATGGGACTAAGATGTGCGCCGCCTGAGACTGACTCTGCGCCGTCTGGGACCGAGATCAGCGGGGTCACGGTCGTTACTGATCACCAAACGGACATGACTAAACTACGCAAGCACGAAAACGCATAAATATGTCTGGTATGGCCCTCCTTGGCGTCCAACACGGAACTTTGTGCGCCTCAAATCGCAATATTTCATCTAGCAGACGGGTTTATCGATGGATCATCAAAAGGTTTCACCGCCGGCCAACAGCTTATGCACAAGCTGTAATCAAAGTCCTCGGCTTGTCCGGGATACCTTGTTCACGCGATAGACTGGTGTTGAGCTAGGACTCCGCTTGGACATCAAACGTTCAATGGAACAAGGCCAGCAGACATCTGTGGAAGATCAATGAATTATCATACCCAAACTACACCCCACGTTTGAACTGTACCTCGATTAGCATATGTGCTCACTGTGCGCAATGATCATGTGCCCTCGGCCGGGCAGCGTGCAGCATCCTAATAAATGTGATGGCTACCAGGATATATTGAGTTACAATGGCTACCACCCTCTACTACCAGAGACATTCAAGGACATGGCGAGTCGTGACCACTGCCGAAGCTGTCTGAGGTGGTGCCTCGTAATTCATTCACAATGGTAGTGGGAGGGAAAGGGAACTGGGAAGGAATACTGAACGAGATAGCGAGTGATTTAACTTTTACGTGTAGTGACTAAGAGTTATTACTCGCATCCATCATTCGATGGTTTCTGTCCTGATAAAGGTGTTTTGCAACCACATGCGTTTTCTTTTTGGAAAAAAAATCAAATCATTGTGTTACCAATAAGAAGCCTTTTGGGTGACAAAGGAGCGAGTGCCGAGTATCATTCTGAGCCCTGCACCCTTCTAACTGGTCTCTCGGTGTGTCAAATTTTGAGTGCCATTGGCCCGGCTGTTGTTGAGCTGCAGGAGCGGTGCCTCAGTAACACCACAATTGTGACACATAAAGATGCATCGCCGGTCGCCCTATGGATAACTACTGACAGGCCAAGTTTAGGAATAAAAGCTGCGCTTCTGTTGCTTCTGTTTTTGCTCGCAAAATCCATTACATATGCATTATGGCGCAATGTTGTTACGTAATGCGAACTTAATGCATAGCTTTTAAATGTGGCATAGGTAGTTTTTTATCAATGTCATCTTCACAAGTGAATTAATATTGCATGCCAGTAAAATGTGGCGTTTCACATTGTTCGCATCAGAACCCGCTGACACTGTGTTTCTTAATTGTCAGGCTGATGTCAGACATGTTGCAGCGTTTCCATTACACTACACACTGTCAATGTTGAATGCATATATAAACACGGGCTATTTTGTAAATACTTAGCTGCATGTTTGCCACGTTTATTGTTTATGCAAGACAATAATCAGCAGTGTTGTTTTGTGTTTTGCGTAGTGAGCAAGAAATGACCGTATCGTGTTCGGTAAAGCGCAGCTGGACGAGCTCACTGCATGGTGGCATTTTTGCGGTCTGCGGGAGGTATGCCAGCTTCGATAACATTTTGATGAGAATGTGAACACTTTACATCATGGGCGGATCCAGAAAGGTGGTCTCAGACACTGCGGGAGGACGCCAAACCCTAAATACCTAAAGTTTCACCAAATAAATTCTCAGATTTCGATTACTTATGCAATATGCACTACTGTGCAGATTATAGCAATTTTTCCCACTTAAAAGTTCGTTAGGTTTCTTTATATTTTAGAAAAAAAATGGCAAATACCCCAATTGCCGCTCCCCTTGATCCGTCAGTGCCATACACTAATAGGTATAGTTTTTATCTGGGTTCCAAGAACCGAAAATACACCTAACAAAGAAATGACAATTTAGATATTGGGTGGGCACCGATTTTAAGATCTTTTACCCATAACATATTCTATTGTGAGACGTTACGGACACATTTCTCTTAAGCTTGGTATCGTTAGCTTTAAGCAAATATAACAATGCAGCGTGATCATTCTTTCACAGGCTAAGCAGTAAGCATGCCACGATCAACTGATATCTAAATATTTCAGGCAATATTGTGGGCGATAATGCTAAAAGGTCCCCATCCACTTTTGCTGCATCAAACTCCATTTAAAATTGGCCGCTCTAAGCCTTTATCCTGAAGGTGCTGAAAGCATCGAACGTGTTCATTCTAGTCGGGTGTGTCAGCTTTTGAAGTGCTTTTATAGGTCGTCAGGTTCTCCCCGATTTGTGGCAATCGGTGATTATCGCGCTAACATCTTTGTATCAAGCCATACGAACAGAAACGGTCGGGAAATTTCCTCAATCTAAGCTAAAACTTGACTGATATCGCTAATGCACCGTGCACATTGTTCATACTGCGCACGTGCGCGCAAGGTCTCTGTGAAGACGCGACCATCCGGCCTACGGTGCACGCTGCACAAACGTATACTATAAGCAGCGTGCAAGGTTCAGATTTTACAACGCTTAGGTACGTATGACGTCCTAAAGCCCACTTCCTAGTCGATGCTGGCTTAGCAGATGGCTTAGCAGATTCAATTTCGTTTATAGCTAGGTTATGCTCGTTATTTTCTTTTTACTTTGTATCACATCTTTTTTGAAGTTGTATCACCCATTTGCGGCAATTAATAAATTCTGCCATTCTGCCAATTTTTCCGGCGTTTGTCCGGTGACTCAG